TTATCCACATCTAAAAAACTTTTTGTTAAAATTTGTTTTAAATTTTTTGCACCTCTAAAAATTATTTTTGGTTTTTCACCAACAAAATTTGATATTTTATCATCTGTTTTTAAAATGTGCCAATTCCTATCTATAATTTTCTTTAAATCCAGATTATTTGTACAGTAATTAAAAATCAATGGAACTTTATTATCCTCTTCTCTTAAATTACCCTTCTCTTTATATTTCAAAAGTTGTTTTCTATCTATTTGCTCAACCTCTTCAGAAACCCGTTTTAAAATTTTTTCCTTATATCCTTTTTCTTTAAATTGCTTCTGTAAATAACCTACTTGTTGTTCATATTCTTCCTTTTCAGTACAATTTCGTTTTAATCTCAGCATTTGTCCTTTTGGAATATTTTCAAGCCACGGTTTAAAATGGCAGCTTGTACAATCTATAAAACTATTTACATCCACTGTTTTAAAATGTGTTTTACTTTTTATTTGTTGATTATCTATATAAATTAATAAATCTAAAAAATTCACCTTAAAACAACTAAATTCATACGTTAAGGAAATATTCCATTCGTTAAAATTTAAAAATTCTAAAAAATTCTTTAGGGATTCTTCATCTCCATTCCATATTATAAAAATGTCATCGATGTAACGTTTATAGAGGACCAGATTTGCCCCAAATTTTTCACTGGAGTCAATAAATATTTCCTCCCAGTAAGACATAAAAAGATTAGCATAACTTGGGGCAAACCTGGTCCCCATAGCCGTACCGTACCTTTGGTCTGTAAATAAAACTTATCTTCAAACCAAAAAAAATTATTCCTCAAAATGAAATTAATCCCTTCTACAATAAATTCAATCTGTGATTCTGGTAAATCACCAAATTTCTTTAAAAAATATGTAGCAGCCTCACATCCCTTCTCATGTTGAATATTCGTGTAGAGGCTGCTTACATCACAGGTAGCCATTATAAACCCATCTTTCCATTTAAAATCTTCTAAAATATTTAAAAGGCTCATTGTGTCTTTAAGATATGCTTTACATTTTTTTACTGGATCTTGTAAAAAATGGTCTATATACTGTGATAGGGGAGATAAAAGTGACCCTATGCCTGAGACAATGGGTCTCCCTGGTGGATTATTTTCATCTTTATGCACCTTGGGGAGGATATATAAAACGGGAATTCTAGGAAAATTGACATTTAAAAAATCAAACTCTTTTTTATTTAAAATCCCTTCTTAAAAAAGTGGATCTATTCTTTAAACTTGTATGTTTAAAGAATAAAAAAGAGTTTGATTTTTTAAATGTCAATTTTCCTAGAATTCCCGTTTTATATATCCTCCCCAAGGTGCATAAAGATGAAAATAATCCACCAGGGAGACCCATTGTCTCAGGCATAGGGTCACTTTTATCTCCCCTATCACAGTATATAGACCATTTTTTACAAGGTCCAGTAAAAAAATGTAAAGCATATCTTAAAGACACAATGAGCCTTTTAAATATTTTAGAAGATTTTAAATGGAAAGATGGGTTTATAATGGCTACCTGTGATGTAAGCAGCCTCTACACGAATATTCAACATGAGAAGGGATGTGAGGCTGCTACATATTTTTTAAAGAAATTTGGTGATTTACCAGAATCACAGATTGAATTTATTGTAGAAGGGATTAATTTCATTTTGAGGAATAATTTTTTTTGGTTTGAAGATAAGTTTTATTTACAGACCAAAGGTACGGCTATGGGGACCAGGTTTGCCCCAAGTTATGCTAATCTTTTTATGTCTTACTGGGAGGAAATATTTATTGACTCCAGTGAAAAATTTGGGGCAAATCTGGTCCTCTATAAACGTTACATCGATGACATTTTTATAATATGGAATGGAGATGAAGAATCCCTAAAGAATTTTTTAGAATTTTTAAATTTTAACGAATGGAATATTTCCTTAACGTATGAATTTAGTTGTTTTAAGGTGAATTTTTTAGATTTATTAATTTATATAGATAATCAACAAATAAAAAGTAAAACATATTTTAAAACAGTGGATGTAAATAGTTTTATAGATTGTACAAGTTGCCATTTTAAACCGTGGCTTGAAAATATTCCAAAAGGACAAATGCTGAGATTAAAACGAAATTGTACTGAAAAGGAAGAATATGAACAACAAGTAGGTTATTTACAGAAGCAATTTAAAGAAAAAGGATATAAGGAAAAATTTTTAAAACGGGTTTCTGAAGAGGTTGAGCAAATAGATAGAAAACAACTTTTGAAATATAAAGAGAAGGGTAATTTAAGAGAAGAGGATAATAAAGTTCCATTGATTTTTAATTACTGTACAAATAATCTGGATTTAAAGAAAATTATAGATAGGAATTGGCACATTTTAAAAACAGATGATAAAATATCAAATTTTGTTGGTGAAAAACCAAAAATAATTTTTAGAGGTGCAAAAAATTTAAAACAAATTTTAACAAAAAGTTTTTTAGATGTGGATAAAAGCATTAATTTTTTAAAACAACCTAAGGGCCTTTTTTTATTGTGGAGTATGTAGGGGGTGTAAATTGAGGAAAGATCAACATAAAAAGATTTTTAAGTTTACATCAAATGCCACAAAAAAAGAATATAATATTAAGTCTTTTATTTCTTGCAATAGTAAGGATGTGATATATATGCAAATTTGTCCTTGTGGTCTGCAATATATAGGGAGAACCTCACGGTGTTTAAAAATTAGGATTAGAGAACATATTTACAACATTAATCGGAAATATGAAAATCACAGTGTATCGAAACATTTTCTAGATCATCATAATGCAGATCCAAAAGGTCTAGAGTTTTTTGGAATAGAGCAGATTAAGATACACTGGAGAGGAGGGGATAAAGAATGTCTCCTCAATAGAAATGAAATGGATTTTTGATATAGACACTTTAAGTCCACAAGGACTAAATGTTGACTTTGAGATCACCCCATACATATAATCGATCTATTTTGTATCTTTAATATATATATGCACTTTTTTAGTTTTAAATTGCCCCTTAAATTTATATATTGTTCTTATATTTATGTTTTTATATATTATTTATATAAATTTATGTATAGGAGAATTTTTTTAACTCCTTTCTCGATTATATAGGGTTGATCTCATAGTTTTTGAATATCTCTCTTTTTTTCAAATAATTTGTACCTGTATATAAATTAATTTATATATCATTTTCTCTTCCCCTCTTTAAGAAGAAAAATTATAAAAAGTATATTAATGGTTTATATGTTTAATGGTCTAATATTGCTATAAATGATGATTACAAAGATAGTTTTTCTTTTCTTTTCATTTTATGGAAACTATTGTAAATGAGTTCTTAATGGAGTTAAGAGTTTGTTTTTTGCCATTAATTTGTTGAAAAAAGACATTACAAGTATTGGCAATTTCTGCCGAAACCGGAAGTGATGTCACCGGAAGTTCCGTCATGACGCCGAAACCGGAAGTTGCGTCAGAACGTGAACAGGAAGTGAAGGACTAAGGTGTAGGATGCCATCCAGACCCGGAAGAAGATCAAAGGAGGACACAAAAACGTGCAAAAAGGCGCCAAAAAAAGGGCGCCAAAACGAATATTTAAAGACTGAAGCATACTGAGGAAAACAGACTTTTGATAAAGGCTCTAGCCGAAACGCGTTAAGTTTGTTTTTATATAGTGGACTTTTAATTTATTTTACCCAGTGTTTTGTTTTTACCCCTTATGATAGTGTGTCCAATAAAGTTTTATTTTATTCCCTGCATCCTGGAATATTTTAATTACAAATAGAGACCACAAAGGGGAAACAGCCTGGTGTGTGAAGTACCACAAACGGATATTTTCTACGCTTTTAGTCTGAGCCAGCTTATTTTAAGTGGCTCATGACCATGTGAGTGAAACCTTATTTGTTTTATAAATTTTAAGGTTTTTTACGTTATTACCCTATGTGTGTTTTTTTCCTGTTCTTACATATTTTATACAGGAATTAATTAAATACGGAGTATATCTTTCAACTAAGGGTAATTATAAGTGTTGTTTGGAGTGTGCCCTCACCTATTTCTTATTGTATACCCTTACCACTTAATTGAGCTGAAGTGGTCTTGGTGCCTATAGTGGTCCTTTAAAGGGACTCTCAAGTGCCAGGAAAACATAGGTTTTTGCAGAACCCTGTAGTGCCCCTCTCCCTCCCACCCCAAATTGCTGAGGGGGTTAAAACCCCTTCAGTGACTTACCGGAGTCCAGCGCTGGTCGGGCTCCGTCTAATCTCCTCCCCTGCCAACGTCAGCCGGCAGGGGAGACCTAACGCGCAATGGACGTCCAGCGTCGTATAACACACGTGAGGACGTCCAGCGTCTTAGAACATACTTTTCATGTTCCAAGAACACGGAAGTCCCTCTAGTGGCTGTCTGTCTGACTTAACCCTGCAAGGTAATTATTGCAGTTTATGAAAACTGCAATAATTACAGTTGCAGTGTTAAGGGTAGTGGGAGTTGGCACCCAGACCACTTCAATGAGCAGAAGTGGTCTGGGTGCCTGGAGTGTCCCTTTAATGAAAATGTTATTTCCGCATCTAACTTAGAAGTTTGATTTATTTGCAGTGATTGTCAGGTTTTGGTTTCATTGTATTATATAATTTGGAGTCTTTTTTTTATCCCCTCCTTTGGTTATTGCTTGGGTATTACCCATTGTTGTGCTGCCATGGATATGAAAATGTATTTATAATTTACCATAATTTTCTTTTCCTGGTCATAGGCCATGGCAGCACAAAGATTCCATCCTGGGGTATTGCGGATAACAAGACTAAGAGGGTATTTGGACCCTTATTGTAATTAATGTCTAAATTAGGGATAGGGAGGAGCTAACCACTGTCGTGCTGCCATGGCCTATGAACAGGAAAATAAAATTATGGTAAATATGAATACATTTTCATATATACATGTTAAATACATTAAACATGTTTACAAAGTAACAAATCATTTTTAGATTTCATTCACCAGAACGCAAAGTATATACAAATGGTTTATTTATATTTTATACAGACACTCTCTCGCTCTCTCAAAAGGTTTTAACACGGACATTTCAAATCGCATATTGTTTTAGTACGGCTTTGAATTACTGACCATTCACACTTTAGTGAATGCTCTGATAGAGTATCAAAACATTATATAAACATACACACAAAGTTCTACAAAGCAATAAAGATAAAAAGACAAACTCCTCATAGATTTCCCCCCCCCCCCCTTTTTTTTTTCAAACTAGTCACAGATTGGAACTTTCCATCTGTATATGAATAGTTATGTTTGCAAGCACACACGTTTGTTATATACATTTAGAAAAAACACCCATCAAACTGGGTGATTTATATATATATAAAAAAAAAAAAAAAAAATTCTCCTGCAAATAAATAAATGCAATTACATTTACAAATGAATGAAAGCAGAGTTCTTGTCTTGATTCTATAATTCCAATGTGTTTCCTCCACAAACAGATTGGCTCTGTAGGCACACCTATCATTACTGTATGAGGTATAAAATTAATTTACCCCAGAGGTAGGTGGACAGTATCAATCCTGGTTTTAATCATAAAACAGCAAAATAAGTTCAGAATATCGGCACAAATTTAAAAAATCATCAGAATCACGATTACATGAAAGGCTCCTGATACAGGGATTTCCCAACACACAGATCCTTCACAGGCATCCAAATATTTAGTAGTCCGTAACCAATGTTGGAATCCTGGGGCTTTTCTGCTCCTTTTAAAGATGGGAAAAATAGCTATTTTGTAAGTTGCTCAAAACCTTTGCTTCAGTGTAAAGAGGAAGAAAGCAGACATTCCTTTTCAAATCTTGCTAGGTCCCAGTGGGAGGCTCCGAGGCAAAAGACAGAGGCAAAAAAACATAGTGCAAATATCACATGCCATCTAAAAAGCAAGCTGAAAATCGGGCATCAGGGCCATTGCTCCAGCATTATCAGATTGACTGGCTCCTACTGTACAAAGTGGCAGTGAGCCAAAATGGCAGTGAGCCTAGCCAATCGAAAAACAAAACCCTGAATATCACTGGCTTGTTCTAAACAGTTCAAAGCTTTTCCTGCGCACTTTGTGGTCAGTTATTCCAAGTCCTGCAAGTTTATTGTGCTGCCTGTAAATTGAGAGTTATCACAGGCTGTATCATCCTCTGTAGACGTGTGAGGCTCCTACAATGAGACACAAATAAGATATAAGTATATAGTGAGATAGACAAAAAGGAACAAGTAACATGACATGCAACATTAAATTCAGGGCAGTGTGTGTGTATATATATATATATATATATATATATATATATATATATATATATATATATATATATATATATATATATATATATATATATATATATATATATATTTAAGCCATACTCCCTGTCTCCAAGTAAAATGTATGGAATACAGTTGTTATGGTGCCTTTACTGTCCCCTTAACAATGTTACATAAATTAAGTTATCATGGTGCCAAAAAGCCCTCCCGCCATAAGGGGTTAAACCATTCTTGAATGGGTTTAACTCTAATGTGAGCCTCCAGCGCCGATCCTCAGGTCCCCCATGTGGCATCTGGCTTCTGAAATGGCAATTGACGCTCTCAGCCAATCAGGAACTCCCCATTAACAAAACTGGCTTGAAAAAGCTATGTTTCTTCTTTTTGTTGAGATCGGTGCGGGAGGCGCATATTAAACCAGAGAATGTTTTAACCACTCAAGGTAAGAGTGCGTCCTGTGGTCTCCTGGCACCATAACAACTTAATTTAGAATAAATCAGATTCCCTACAGAGATGTTGCTGGTCTGAGGAGAGCTACCTGCAAAAATGAAAAATCCTACTCTTCAAAAATATGTACATAGATATTTTTTAACCCCTTAAGGGCCAAACTTCTGGAATAAAAGGGAATCATGACATGTCACATGTCATGTGTCCTTAAGGGGGTTAATTATATCATCAATTTCATATTTCAATGGTTTAATTCTAAGTTAAACACACAGTGCGATAAGTAAAGCTATACAATTTAGACTTTTTTTTAGAAAGTGTGCAGGGAGGTTGTTATAGTCTCTGTCCGAGGAGGTGTGGCTAGGGTTGCATAAACAGTGAAAGGGATTTAACTCCTTAATAGTATGGAATGGAGCAGTAAGCATATAGGGTCATGATCTATACACATCGTTGCGCTTAAGTCGTTTTGGTGCTTAGAATGTTCCGTTAAGTAACAAAATAAATTAACAGACAGCCTGTGACAAGAAGAATATATTTAAACAACACATCACAATGAGGAACTATTTTTAGCTTTATATTCAAACATCCCAACATTTTTAGCCATGGTTGTCTATACAATGCAGAATATACAAACAGATGTGCAAGCTTCAATGTATGTTCAGACATGTATTATGTGAGGTAAGGCTATAAATCAGTCATGTACTCAAGCATCCTATTTCTGTACTTGAGGAAATAATTCTTTGTACCTGTAGAATGTGAACAGGCAGATCAACAGTGAGCGAAGTATGTGGAGCTGGAGACTGGGAACTCAGCTGGAAAGATAGATCTCCATCTCCAGGGGGATCATCCTGAACACAAAAAGAAAACAAAATATTAACTAAAAATGTTTAATGGTGAGCATGTGTCTAGGCACAACCATGTAGCAATTTTAAAAACAGCTTACATTCAGTGCAGATATGCTTTTCAGTCCAATTTGTTTATTTTTTAAAACATTCTATGTTTATTAACCATTTATAGTTAAAAGTAGAATAACACAAAGGAAACTGCTAAGTAGGCAGAGCAATTTGTTTATTTTATTTAAATGATTAAATGTTTACAGCTAGTCTTTGCCTTTCTCTCTAGCAAAGAGGGCACATACTATCAAAAGAGAGTTCAGACAAACTTTCTCTTCTATCTTATACAGTTGGAATTGTCAGCATCTCAGATTCTTATTGGCAGCTGATATCAAATGTTCTCTACGTCCTTGGTTTATTTTATCTGTAACAAATAGATTTAAGACATCTGCCTTTACACATATAATAATATAAGCTGTTCGAGCAGTAGTCACTGCTAAACTAACTACAGGCTGGAACACACTTTGCCATTCCCAATACAACTACCATGGACGAACCGTATGAAGGATATCCTCTCAAATGTACCTCTGAGCTAGCCAGCTGCAGAGTTGCATTGCTTGAATCAATGCTGCAACTCCATAGTGAGATCCAGCCTCAGTAAATACGGTCCCCACCCCCACCCCCACAAGTGCTTGCAAGCCTGCAGATTATTCTTTCATTCTGCCCCAACCTTAAGGAGCTGGAGACAGGCCTGAGCGTTGCAAGGAATAATGACCAGCTTTGAACCAATCTCCCTGCAGTTCATCCTGCTACCCAGATGGAAATCTTGGTGGCACATAATCATGGGAAAGCCATTAAGCTTTCAATCTATGGAACCATAAACATCTTTGGGATGAGCAGTAGCTGAAGAAAAAAAAAAATCCCTACTGCTCAAACTCAACACTACTAACTAAGCTAGGAGAGGGTAAAAATCTGCCTCTCAAAAGTGTCTTTTTTCTAGATTTCCTGCCCTACCTTTAGAAGCAGAGACTATATCATCAAGATTGTTGCCAGGCATGACAAGGAAACCATATTCCACTTAAAGCTAAATGTATCAAAGATTTGCTATTGATCCCTTAATCAGAGAACATCTCCAACAATGATCCCTCATAATGCAAGCTCATTTGAGAAGAGCCATCAACACCTTCTGTCCCTGTATGCCAATTTTTTTGGGGGGCAACTACTTATTTATTAGCCAACCTGTTGTACAGCACTGCAGCATATGTTGGGGATTTTTAAAAAATAATTTACAGAAAGGAAGAATCATAGGATATGCCACAAAGAATGAGAAATAGCTAAAGCACTCCTTAACTATCCAGGCCCACTCCTGGATCACAGCATGTGAATACACTCACCTGTAGCAACTGAATCTGAACATACTGTGTCCCGGTTGCTGGATCTCGTAATGTAAGGCCTCCGTTCGGCATAACAACATTAGTGTTACACCGGCCACCAGCAGAAGGCAGTGTTGAGCTCGGCTTTGTACTTTTACTTTTCTTCTGTGTAGGAGACGATCCTTAAAAACAAAATTTTTTGAAAATTATGAATATGCTTCAAATTTAAATAGCCCTAACAGTTATATATCATGGCTGGCTTAATTAGGGTTTAAAGTTTTAATTCATTGGTGTAGCACATTTCCAGTCCCCTGCTCCCACTTACAGCAGTGGTTAGCACAGTACCTCATTAAGATTACAGTAACACGCATGCTGTGCAAAAAAACTGTGAGATACCGGGGGGCGTGGCCGACTACGGAGCTGAACAGTCGCAGGTCTGTGGAGCTCTGCATCGGCCCCACAGACTAAGAGCCTTAGAGAGGAGAAATCAGCTCCAAAAACGCACAGCTTACCTGCCACCCGACAGCCGACAACATGGGGCGCAAACACAAAAAACAAACCTACACGGAGCGACCCGCGGCACCCGACATCAGGCTGGCATTCCAGAGGCCTACACAAGCGCGGCCCGCCAAGATGGCGCCGGAACCGCAGAGTGAGATAGAGACCTCTGACGACTCCCAGGAAGAGAGGGACTCCCAAGCCTCCCTCCCGGGCCCCACTCCCAGTTCTGACTCAGAGGAGGATGACTCCCCATCAACAAAGGGGGACATCAGAAAGCTGCTGATCGACCTAAGGCAGGTCTGGAAGGCAGACTTAAAGGAGACACATGCTGAAATAGGGGTCTTGCAACAGAGAGTCCAGGAGGTGGAAAACAGAGAAAGCTCCAGAGACCACCAACTCCAAGACACCAAACTGCAACTGGATGATCTTAAGGAGCAGGCCCGACGCCTACAAGGAGCGGTGGTGACACTGGAAACCAGACACCGCCGCCGCAACATACGCCTTAGAGGTATCCCTGAAAAGGTGAGCGGTGAAGACTTACTGCCCTTTGTCCGGAGACTCACCTCCTCCATGGGCCCCAGGTGTAATTCAGACACACCACTGATTCTGTCCGCCTTCAGGGTGCGCAAATCACCAGCGGCACCCGAGGGTGCCCCCAGAGACACAATAGCTACCACCAGGGACGTAGCTGCGAGAGCTACCATCATGGCCGGATCCAGACCATTGGGGTCGGTAAAATTTGAGGGATGTGAGGTGGCCATATACAGTGACCTCCCGTTTGCTGTGCTGGCCGCAAGGAGACTACTAGCACCAGTCACTAAGAGACTGAGAGAACAATCGATCCGGTACCGATGGGGCACAGAGGGATCGCTAACAGTACAAAAGGGCACCGATGTACTCACCCTAACCTCGGGAGACGATCCAGAGACATTCCTCAAAAAACTAGGCATATTAGCCAATGGACACAGAAAGCAGAATGAGAAATGCAATAATTAACCATTATAATAATGTTTTGCATATATATATATAAGCTTACATGGTCTGGGAAAGTTTCTTACTATTCCTGTTACTCCAAACCCAGCATTCCATGCTATTACCCTATTACCCTAAATACCTGACTCGCATATAAGATAAGCCGGAAAGATTGTTAGAATCAAGCAGCCTCGAAAATTAAGCAACCTCTATAAAGGGGGATCTTTGTAGAAAGGTAGAAATGTACAAATTGTTTCTTTACCAGGCCACAGTAAAGGATCTCTGACATTGTGATTGTTATTATGCATGTAGCCCAACGAAATGTTATTTGAACCTGTTCTAACCCATATAATAATATAATAACACATGTAATGGAAAAGTGTATACTTTGTGTACAAAACCAAATAAAATACAAATTTAAAAAAAACAAAACTGTGAGATACCATGGGAATTATATAAACAAACGTGTACTTTTATGTGGCAAATTTTAATTGGTGCTCTAAATGAGATACAGCCCAATACAGTTTGAAAACTAATGCATTGGTGTCATATTTGGCAGTGAAACATTTCTGCAATTGTGAAAAATGTATGCATCACCACAACACATAACACCAGATCTATTTATTTCAATATTATTAGTGCACGGTGTGACTCACACTCTGCAATACTGGCCTCTTGAGGTTAGATTAGCACCGACATGTGTCCCAGCTTGCATCAGACTGGCAGGTGAAAGCACCAAAATATATTATATATTCAAATATTTGGTGTTGCTCAAAAGGGTGACTGCATTTATTTCTACCTCCACCCATTACCATCAATTCGGGAAAAACACCTATGGACAGAATAACACATTGTGTCACACAACCCGTCTCACTGTCATATTAGTTATGGATAATGTACTGCATTAATGATTGCTGCTGTATACAGCAACTACCACCTGGGAGTGTGACTCACATTAACCTTGGGCAAACCGGAACAAAGAATAATGGAATCCTAACCCTAGGTTTAGAAAGCATACAATATATGTATAGAGAAAGAGACTGATACATACATACATAAAGATATGTGCAAATTAATGTGTATTTTCCTTTGGCTTCAATTCATTTACTTAATATCTCACATACTTTATTTTAATAATTTAAATTCTATAGAAGCCAACAAGACCTTGCTTTCTTATATTTTCTTTTAAATTTTTTATTGAAAAAAAATTCTTAATACATTTTATACAAATAAACACAAAGAAAAACATTGATTCTGCTTAGAATCAAAAATCATACAATAATTTCGGTAGGATATCTTATTCGTATTAAAGTATCTTTACGTTTCATTACATTGTACAGTTGTTACTAATTTTCTTCTAATTTAACTTAATCAATTAAACAGGTTAGTGATATACTATGGCTCTAATACCTTTATCCTAGGATTAATATCTATAATATAAAACCCTGTTTTAGTACAATTTAAAACCATCAGTACAAACTTTCTTGTTCTTAATAATGTGTCTACCCATCCTTTGATTATCTCACATTCATTCAAACTTCTACAAACACTAAAACACTGATTGTGTTAACTCTTTACTCAAAACATTTTTAAACGATTTTAGCGGCTATGATATTTAATATACCCTTACTTTCATTCCTTCTCTTTTTAATTGTAATATGCTTTACTTTACGCTGTAATTCTTTCCTCTTGCTTTTTATTATTTTTATCCTTCTATATGATTTATATCTGCTATAAGGGTAGCATATGACTCTCCTAGTGTATTTTTTTTTAATTTTTTTTTATGAACATTATACCAAATCACTCCCTTTTCCATCTCCAATTGGTTCAGAATTTGACTCTTTAATTGGTGTATATTTGGAATGTCCTTTTTTTTCCATGCTTTTGCGATCAATAGCTTGGTCGCCATAAGGCAGTGAGTAACTAGTATTTCGGTTTTTTTTTTCTAGCTTATCATAAATGTGTAATAAGGCTATTTCTGGTATAAAAGTCAAACGGACATTACCTATCCCTGTTATTAGTTTAAATGTAAGGTCCCATAATGATCTAATTCTAGGGCAATTCCACCATATGTGTATCATAGAGCCGTCTAGATTTAAACATCTCCAACAATTGGGAGAATTGCTTTCTTATATTTAATATTGACCATCGTGTCATTTTCTGGTATCTGATCATTCTAAACAATGCAATGCTTCTAAAACTTATCCAGGTCCTGAATTTAAGATGCTGCTAATCTTTCTCAACAATGCACATATATCTTACCAGGACTGCCAGTTCCTCCCTTCTTTTTGCTCTTGGCCAATTGGATGGCTCTGTAATCGGTCCTTGCTGAACCACCACTTTCCTAATAATATGGGGACAGAAACATAAATTTTTATTTTTTCAAGGTGTAAAATAGAGTGGCTAACATGATTTTAAAAAAAATACAAAAATAATAAAATTATAGAGGACACATGTATATACAAATCCACAAGAAACTGCTGCACTCCTAGGACTCTAAATAGTGATAAAAAGAGAATTCAGTACTTAACTTTTAGTCAAACTTTAAAAAAATAAATGTGTCAACATTTCAGTTCCTCACAGTGAACTTTCATCAGGACAGAATGTGTATGCATGTGAATATGAATATATATATATATATATATATATATATATATTCCTGCCTCTAGCACTCACCATAAATAGAATATAAAGTCAGCAATACCTGGGTGCTTCCAGTGTGAATAATCCACACAAAAAAAAAATTCAAGTTTTGACCCTCCAGGGTCTTTATCAAAATTGATAAAGACCCTGGAGGGTCGAAACGTTGATTTTTTTTTTGATTATTGAATAAACACACAAGTGGAAAATTTCCTCAGGAGTGCTCCATTTAATATATATTTATTTATATATCCACCAAAAGGAGCGCACTCAGCTGGATTTTAGCTTTAAAAGTGTAGATGCTCTTTTTTTTTTATATATATATATATATATATATATATATATATATATAGAAATACTTAAATGGTTCAGTCCACAAAGGAACTCCTGATAAAAGTCCCTGGGCGAACTGAAACGTCAATATGCAATTATAAATAAGAAGCATCTACACTATCGAAGCTAAAATCCAGCTCCTTTTGGTGGCTGTGCAGTGCCTTGAAACTCCACGCCAGTTATTACGGTTGTGACTCATCAAGTATAGGATCCTGTGGTTTTGAGAGATAGATAGAAAATATTTTTATGTAATATAAGAGTAAATGTTTGCATACCAATAAGGAGCTCCCAGATGGTGAACCGTAATCCATTTCCTTTTGGGAACTGAATGTGCCAATGTGGTTTGGAAACACAAACTGTGTTACTACTTTGCTGCCTTCCTGCTGGTCTACCACCTCTGGACCTGGCAGTGAGCTTCTTTCCACTTTAACTGGCGTTAGTAATTCTGGCATAGAGCTGCCTGAAGCAAAGGTGACAGAGGGAGTCAGGGTAGATGAATCTATGGTTAGATGGTTACTGGATGTAAGTCCGTGTATGTCCTGGCTGGAGCCTCTCATGGACAAAGATGCCAAAGAGCCCAAAGCCTCAGCATTCACAGTTTGTACGTCATCCAGCTGTAAAGTGCTCTGCTGAAGGATTGAAGTTGAAGCTCCAAGAAGTAAGGAGCTTTCCAAACTGGGGTGGTTTTCATTGTTGGACACCAACACCAAAGGGTCAACAGGATGCATCAAAGAATTATTGTTGACCGATACATTCCCTCCCAGGGTAGATCCCACAGATGACACGTCAATCGTAAGTATTCCTGAGTTAACCAGAGTAAGATCTGCTGAGATCCCAGGTCCATTAGAGGACACGGAGAAGAGGGAGGAGAGGTCTAGGTTACTGAGGTCATTCTGTCCTGAGCTTGTCAGTTCACTACTGGGGGTGAGGGAACTAGTTGCTTCCAGCTGAATCAATAGGTCTAAAGCAAGATAAAAATCACAAGACAATATTATAACAACACTAACTAGACAAGATAGTTAACCCCTGTTCCATAATGCATGCTGTTTTAAATGATATAGAAGGATATATTAGAGAAGTTGACTCATGGCTACTTATATTTTAACCCATCTAATTAGCTCTGTGTGGGGCAAGTGTGGTTTATATACAGCCATAGGCAAAGGTAAAATCCAATGAAGAGCATGTCATTTCTACATCAACATACTAGCAGTTAAAATGTGATTTTGTATCGCATATTTGTAACATTTTTCTCTTTAAAAACAAAAAAGGAATTAAAGGGCTAACAAGGCATTGGAGGAGGAACAACAAAAATTACAGGGAGATATTTGTGAATGTTTTTGTATTTGAAAAATAGTGCAAAGTTGTAATAGTGAAGCAATTACCAATCAAATGTACCTGCTATTTACACTGGTTTTCATGGTCACTGCCCCATTATTAGAAAACACCACTTTCATAAATCCAATATGTGTGTCATTAAAACATTTGCTGTTAATTCCTAACACTATTCTACACAAAAAACAAAACAAAAAGAAATTCACCAAATGTATACATGCACGCAATGTCTGTACAAAACAGTAATCTGGATTTTAAGAAACTAAACAGAGGGATCCTTAAATGAAAAGTAACATTTAAGGGGACACTATAGTGCTAGGAATACAACATTGTATTTATAGCACTATAGTCCCCTCAAGTGCCTCACCCTCCTCTGCAGGGGGTTTAAAAAAAAAAAAAAAAAAAGCGTTGATCTCTGTCAGCGATGGGTTGGTGCTCTGCCTCCTCTGACATCACCTATGGGGTTTCTACCAATGCTGATGTCCTCATGCAGAGCGCGAGGATGTCCAGCTTCAGTCAACCAAGTGCAAGCAGGAAGTGCGTGTAGTGGCTGTCTGATTGACAGCCACCAGAGGCAGTCTTAACTCTGCAATGTAATTATTGCAGTGTCTCAGAAAGCAATTAGTATTATGGCCTACATGCTTGATTGTTAATGGGACCCAAACACAGATTAGACAGGCTACCTATACACTGAGCGCTGCTGAAATGCTCTCTTCAAATGCACAGGAAGGATGTTTTTAAAAAAAACAAAAAACAAAAAAAAACATTGGTGCTGCACTTTATTAGTCTTCTCAACACTTGACAGAGCCATGGAGTGTCAGCTAGTGAATAATATTGAATTAAGTATGCACTGCTAGGCCAATGTATAAGTATGAACTTCCTTTTGTAAACAAATGGAAGGACAGCAGACCCCCTGACAAAGCTGCGAAAACGGGATGATGGTGCCATGGGGTTTCCTGGCACCATAACCACTACAGTCTATACCTTTATTGTTCTGCCATAGGCAAAATTTTCCTTTGTATTTTACCTGGGCTGATGTTGTGCTGTTTAACCATGTGAGATTTCAGACTCTGCTTAGATGTAAACACTTTGTTGCAGCTGGATACAAGGCAACGTGTCTTTGAAGCATCTATGTCTTGCAGGTGTTTTTTGGCGTGAATATATAAACTACTTCGAGCAGAGAACTTGGCCGTGCAGCCTGAAAAGAGAAATGGTGGAAGGAGATACAAAGATCTATAATGAGAGTGACTGTAACCAGAAGTATGCATAACCGAATAATGGGTTAAAAACAGTAAATACTTTATGCTGACCATTTAAAATATTTGTTAAAATTAAAAAATAAATAAATAACAACATCTTTCCAGCTAACACAGGACATTTTCGACACAGAGCATCACTAGAGTTCCTTAACCCATTTTAGTTATTATTCGGATTGGCTGCTGACATCACGTCTGCAGCCTTGATATTTTTGGATGCAATTCCAAGATGGCCAACTCCACAATGATATCAAACGGTCAGATCTTCAAGTGGTAATTCCAGCTAAATGTACTTTAACATGGTTACATGTAACTATTACAAATCTTTTTTAAAGCAAATTTTAAAAATGACTATTTCAGGTTCCAGTTCCACTTTAAACATTTTCTATATGAAAGGTATTTTCTGTTCCCTTTTCCATTATCCACCATTATCCACCATTAATTTGTATTAATTAAGTTTTAGTAATAAATACTTAAATGTTGTGCCTGAATTAGTACACTCATATTTCTCCCAAGTCTCAAGCTAATTCTATAAAGTCAACATACTGTGGAATGCTAATAAACAGAACTAATAATATAGCTGAGTTTTATTTGTACAGGACATAGAAAACATTTTCTAACACGCTAAAGTGTTTTCACTTTTTCCTCCCAGTTACAGCTGTGTGGTTGATTCCCCCCACTTATGGCAGCGGTCTAGTGACGCAAAATATGCGTTCTAATTTGAGTTATTTGTAAATAGCAAAGTTGTACATCAAGATAAATAAAAGGGAAATTACCATCAACAGGACACTCAAACGGTTTTGTACCAAGGTGTGTTATGCTGTGGCCCTTCAAATGCTCAGCTCTAGTGAACGATTTTCCACAACCTTCCACGGGACAGTGATACCGCCGGTAATTGTCATGTTTTCTGTCAGTAGAGATTCAGAACTTGTTAAAAGATCAGGAGATTTCAGACACACACTATCAACATGCTATTATCTCACATAAGATATCATAACCAAACTATTTTTTTTCTTTTTCCCCTTTTTGAAAAGCAAATCTACATTAATGGAATAAAGCAAATGATGCCATAGATCAGGGGTTCCCAACCCAGTCCTCAAGTACCCCCCCCCTACCAGTCCAGGATTTAGGGATTACCCTATTGTGTCTAAAGTGCTTTTTGTTTTCTAAAAACACCTTAGACACAACTGGGTAATCCCTAAATCCTGCACTGTTAGTGGGTTCTTGAGGACTGGGTTGGGAGCCACTGCCATAGATCATAAATAATACATATATCTGTCTAGTTATTACAGAACTACAACTCAACAGCAGTAATAACTGCTAACTATTGTAAGTCTCAAAAAAGCTTGACACAGACCAGTTGGCTACCAAAGATATACACCCTACATTGTTAGGAAACTGCCAGAATGTTAGCAGTGCATCATGGGAGATGTAGTCCAAACCAACTAAAGTGCCAAAGGTTTAGTAATCCTTGCGCTTGGTCGATTAACTGACTAAATTTGCTAACCTGCCTTTACTGGGACTCATGTAGCATGACAAGCAAGTTGTCACACGGGCAGAAAGAAGCTTAAGGAGCCAATTCTGCTTTGTTTAAAATGTTTGCTACGGTCACATTGTCCATTTTAACATTCAGCAGAAACCAACAAACATAATACACTAGCTTAGGAACAGATATCGCAGAAGTCTACATTCTATGAACAAACTAAACACGTGAAAAGCCAAGCATAATACATACACACTGATTTAAGATTCACCTACAACACAAGCAGACAGGTAAGAGACATGAAGGTGTTTAGATCTACAGAGACGTTACCATAACAGATTTAACATTTCTCATATACACTTCTCATATACATATATATACATATACACACACCCCCCCGTGACATACAACAAAACAGTAGAGAAGAAAGGAATATAGCCTAATAAAGTAATGTGAACAAGAGCATACCTTTTGTGCCTTAATAACTTTGACATGCTTGTGAACGACCAACCACAGCTTTCAAAGTCGCATATAAAGGGCCTCTCACCTACAAAAAGAAAATGGGATTTTAATGTAAGCGTCATAAAAGTGAAATGGTATCAAATTACAGAGCACGATAGCGCCTCTACATGCCATATTTGTTATCAAACTCACAATTTACATTTTCATTCCACATTTTGTGGCTGTAGAATTACAAGTGAAACAAACAAGCATGGTCACCAGAGTGGTGGTCATGTATTTGCTCAGAAAGCATAACTAATTTTTGTCTTCCCTAGGATAAATATACAGATTGCATTACTATACATAAGTGTAGATGACCTTGTAATCCACACCTATTGTTGCCAACAACTTTATATATTATAGCAAAGCAATATGAGCGCTTTTTTTCATGCAATTGTTAACACTAAGCATTAAATATTAATCTTACAGGTTTAGTGCAGAGATGCTGTACCTGCTCTTAGAGAAATGGCAGGGTTTACATTTGGCCAAGAACACATCTCTAGTGCCTGTCAGCCAGTAGTGCCGCAACCTTAAACTCTTATACCCCCTCCTCACCACCTAATTTACAACTCCCATAAGTGTCCTGTGATCTGTTGTGTTCAAATAATTCTTGGAGTTGTACATCAACAACATCTGGAGGGCCAGAGTTTGAGATTTCTACACTAAGGGCACTTCCACCAAAAATGAACACTGCAGGCACTATATCCATTTTATCTAACTGAAGTTGTTACAGGGTCTGGAGTCCCATGACACTGTTCCCCCATTCAATGTTAAACCATTTTCGGCCAGTTTAACACTGATGGAGATTCCCAGGCTGCCCATGACTCTACTTGAGGTGTGGCCAAGGCAGAGATTGCACACTTCCTACTGCCCATACAGATTCATACCTGCAATAGGTGCTGTGATCTAGGGATCAACCGATTATCGGTCTGGCCGATATTCTGTATTTTTAGCAATATCGGTATCGGGCAATACTGATATCGCCGATAATGCAGACCAGGGCAGCAATCAGGAATCTTGGGGGGCTGCGGCGGTCCTGGGTCGGTCTGTGGCGGTCCTGGGGGGGCCAGCACACTCTTACCTTCCCAGCAGCTCCCTTATCTAACTCTCGCGAGTCCCGCGGCCGTCAGAGCGTTGCCACAGGTAGCCATGGCAATGTTCCAGGCGGCACACGGACCGCGAGAGTTAGCAGGGGAACTGAAGGGAGCTGCTGGGAAGGTAAGTAAGAGTGTGCTGGGCCCCCCCAGGCCCACCCTGGACCGTCGCAGCCCCACCCCTCCCCCCAAAATCCTGATTGCGGCCCTGGTCTGCATTATCGGCGATATCAGTATTGGCCAATATCCTCTAAAAAAAAAAAAAAATCTATATCGGTCGATCCCTACTGTGATAGGCTGAAACATATAGCCAATTACAGCTGCCTATAGCATCTCTGGCTAATTGGTTTATGTTTCCTCATTAGCCCAAGCAGCACAGAAGGGGTTGTGCTGCAGGGGACTCTTGTACAGCATTAACAATTTAAACGACTACTATAGGCATCCAGACCACTTCAGCTTAATGAAGTGGTCTAGGTGCCAGGTCCGTCTAGGATTAACCCTGCCTGCTGTAAACATAGCAGTTTTCCTGGCACTATGGGTTAAACCAGCCTCTAGTGGCTGTCTCATTGACAGCCGCTAGAGGCGCTTCCGCATTTCTCACTGTGATTTTCACAGTGAGAAGATGCCAGCGTCCATAGGAAAGCATTGAGAATGCTTTCCTATGGACTGGCTGAAAGCGCGTGCGGCTCTTGCTGCACATGCGCATTCAGCCGATGACAGCCAAAGGAGGAGGAGAGTCCCCAGCGCTGAGGGAGCCCGGCGATGGAGAAAGGTGAGTTTTTTAACCCCCTTTCTCTCCATTCAGCCCGGCGGGAGTAGGTTTGTTTTCCTGGCACTATAGTGGTCCTTTAACAATGAATAGGAAGACGGTGCCATTTGGTTCCAGGCACTTCAATGAGATGAAGCAGTTACATTGCCTACAGTGTCCCTATAAGACATTCCAATTTTCAAAGAGCTCCACATCTAGGTCTATCATTTGCAGTATGAGGAAATCAAACATAGTTAAAGTTTGCATAAGAAGTTTTAAATGAACGGAGCGAGGTAATTGCCATGCATGCACTGTCCGCAATGCTTCTCCCTCAGAAGCGATAGAACATGGATTGTGTCACTGGATTACAGTTGTGGGGCTGCTCAAGCTAAATAAAATAACAGAAATTAAAAATACATGTATATTTATAAAGTTATGTTGTTCTTTTCAAAAGGAACAATCTACGAAGCATTCAAGACTTTCAGACTACACAAATGTTAGCTCAGACCTGTGTGAGTCCGCAGGTGAATTTTCAACCTGCACGCCTTATCATACTGCTTGTTACAGCCAGGGAAAGAGCACACATATTGTTCCTGTTCCCTCACATGAGCTCTGTGGTGAGAGAATAAAGCTGTGACCGTAATAAAGGTCTTGTCGCAACCTGCAGGAAGAAAAGGAAACACATGAGAATTTGTAAAACAGTGTGTTGTCTAACGATATAATGTAAACATGCAAAAATCATATATAATTATGCATTCAAACTATACAACTATTAGCTGCAGCTTGATTGATAAAAAATGTTTTACAACTCAGATTATTACAACTGTTATATCAACACTCTGTAATGGTTTTACAACAGATGAAAAAACATGCAGACAGTCATAAAAATATATTCAAATGGTTTGCATTATTTTACCTATGGATTGGCTTTACCACACCATGGCTTGCTGCTGACAATTCTCCATTGTGTATCACTGACTGTACACAGAGTACAAAGTTACAGTTGGTGCAACATATTAAGTTTATGAGTCAAAATGTCAGATTGTGTCCCCCTTTAAAGAAACTTTCCATGCACGATAACTACTACAGCTCACTGCCATACTAGAGTATTTAAACTGTTTAACAACTTGTGTGAGCCTTGCTGAGCTCCTGCGCTCACTAGGTTACTCGAGCAGGAGACATTGGATGTCTCCCCTGAGCTAAGCACGGCCCAATAAATATGCCAAGAGTGGTCCAGTTTAACTCATTGGAGGTAAACGGATTCTCTTTGCACAGGGAATCTAGAAGCAGAACTGCAGCCACCCAGCGGGGCCCAAGTTAGTGGTCAAACCATCCTTAAAGAAAAGCTATAGTGTTAAGAATACAAACATGCATTTTATAAAACTATGGTGCTGGAATAGATATTTAGCTCCCGGTCTACCCCTCAAATCGGAGATAAAAAGGTATTTTACTTAACTTTTCTCCATCATTGCACCAGTCTCGCTGGATCAATGTATCTCTATGGTGAGCGTTCAATCTCACCATGCAGAGTGGAGACACTGATCGAATGTGCTGCACAGAGTGCAGTACTGAACTAGGAAGACCCTCTAGTGGCCGTCTGAGTGACTGCCACGTGAGGTGTCCCTAGGCATCAATGTAAACCTGGTCTTTTATATGAAAAGGCAGCGTTTACAGTGCAACAACTGCAGGGACATGCTATAAACACTAGAACCACTCCATTAAGCTGTTGTGATTTTGGTGACTGGTTGTGATTTTGGTGACTGTAGTGTCCTTTTGAACAATTTGTTTATTCGGTAGTGGTGCTGGGGGGCACTAAGGCACTCCTGGCATCATAACCACTACAGTTGACTGTAGTGGTTATGTTGTTTGAAGTGTTCCTTTAAAGGACCACTAAAGTGCCAGGAAAACACTTGTTTTCCTGGCACTATAGTGCCCTGAGGGTGCCCCCACCCTCAGGTCGGGCTCTAGGGGGTGGAAGGGGTTACAATTTACCTCTTTTTCCAGCGCCAGGCAGGGGACTCTCCTCATCGGCTGAATGCGCATATTCTATGGACGCTGGCGTCTTCTCACTGTGAAAATCACAGTGAGAAGCGCGGAAGCGCCTGTCAATGAGACAGCCACTAGAGGCTGGATTAACCCTATTATAAACATAGCAGTTTCAGAGAGGAAAGGGTTAATCCTAGCTGAACCTGGCACCCAGACCACTTCATTAAGCTGAAGTGGTCTGGGTGCCTATAGTGGTACTTTAATGTAATATATAAATTATGGATTTGTTAAAATGTGTGAAACACCATGGCCGCAGCATTCACTTTAAGTAAAATAGCTCTGCAGGTTGAACCCTCATCTACTTAATAGTTGTGTGTATTCAGATGAAGAGCAAGTTTTTTGACTGTGTGAATTCTCTAATTTTTGGGGGGAGAAACTATAGCTATTAAAAAACACATGTCCTTATACAAGAAACTAGACACATGAATATTTTCATAATTGGGCAAGTGGACCCAAGACCATCACTCAAAGCGGATGTGTCATTTTATATTTTACAGTGACATTTCCAAAAACAACAAGAACTGCCGTTTCTTATTTGATGCATATTTTCCAAATTATACCCAAGTAAAAGCAGGGACTACTTTTCCTTATGTATAATAAGCAGGTTGATAAATGGCAGAACTTTAGTCAAGTTCCACGTCCTTTGTCAAGTCTGTCAACCTGTAATCACCGCCAGTGCTCTGCCAGAGCATGGATCATTTGTGTTGACTGATTTGACATGCACAGCTAAGGAAGGACAAGATAAAAAAAAAAATTTTTTTAGCCACTGCGTTATTATAAACGCAAAGATCATGGTACAGTGAAAGAAGACCAGGTGGCATTATAACAACATTGAAAAAAGTGAATTTAACCAGTCTAAGGCCAAAAACAGATAGTTGGGGAGGGGTATAAGGTAGGATACTCGAGCTGTGGGCCATGAGTGCAAGTTAGTGACAGATCAGCTTTAAAAAAACAGCAAATACGGCCAATATCATGTTATATTAGGCAACAGTTACGGATTAGAAATAAAACGGCAAAAAATATATATTTTGACAGGAATCATAGCAGTCAGAGAAATCAAAACAGCGTACTTTTCGGAAAATAACTAGTTCAAGTACACATAAAATATAACAAAACAAAAAACTCATGATTAGTAGAGTAGAAATAGTACATTTCCAAGGTATTTTAATAAGCATTTTTATATTCATTTTAATCCCACCATAGGGAATGGTAAGGTGAAGTGATAATAGGAGAAATGATAGGCTTAAACCAAAGAAGAAAAAGGTTACCTGTGCTCTTTCCACAATAAGGGTTAATAAGCATGTAGGGATGTATATAAAAAATACCCCTTTCTGTCTCATTAGAGATATTTTTGCCAGAAGCTCAGGGAAGCAAGGCGAATGGTTAGAGTTAGGGCCCACCTAAGAGGTCTGCCTTGACGTGGCAGGTGGGCATACCCTCTCATGGCCATTGGAGGTAACTAAAAAACCTCCATTTGTTTAAAAATACATAGGGATGTGGAAAGAGCACAGGTTACTTTTAGTTCTTTGGTTTTTACTATATGTATTTTGGCTGATGTGTACTATGGACATTGCTGCCGCCCAGGAGTAATGGGAGATGGAGCGCAGGACTAGTTTCTTTGGAAACGATAGGCTTGTTTAGGCTCTTTGTGAGACATACCAGGGAACTCGCATTTGTAGGGTCTCTCTGGCTCGAAGTGGGTTCTCCGATGGGCACTGAGCTTGGTGGATGTAGGAAAGGATTCGCTGCAGGTTTCACAACGAAAGCTGTTCTCCTGTTCATGGGCTTTCAAGTGGGCCTTGAGATTGTAGACTGTGGTGAAGCTCTTGCCACAGCCCAGGACATTGCAGGAAAACGGCCGCTGCTTGTCATGGGACTGCAGGTGCCTCTTCAGTTTGTAGAGCGTTGTGAAGGACCATCCACAGTTGTCAATGGTGCATTTGAAGGGTCGCTGGGACTCGGTGTGGCTCAGTAGATGAACCTTGAGCTGCTGCTTGCGGTCGAACGCCTTGGCACAGCCGGGTTCTGGGCAACGAAACACCAACAGGACCCCCTTTCTGGCAAGGTCCAAAGCTTCCCCAAAGTCCAAAGCTTCCCCAAGGTTGACCTGGAGCTCCCCAATATCTCCAACAAGGAAGCCAGTGACCTGCTCGTCCACTGGGTCCCTGAAGGCCAGGTTTACATGCTCCAAACCCTCAGGAGGGGCAGCAGGAGGACAGCTAGCTGGTTCGCCCTGGGGGGACATCTCTGGGTCCCAGTCCTCCTGGGGGGGATCTGACACTTGGTTATCCTCCTGGGCCTGGGGCCTGCTTTCCTGGCTTTCACTAATATCTGGCCCTCTGCCTCGCAGTGTGAACACCCCATTCTCCAGGCGGACTGTCACGTACCCAGGAAGCAGCTCCCGTGTGGACCCGGGTCTGGCAGGGTCAGGGCTCCCATTGTCTCCAGCCACCGCCTCCTCCTCGCCCAGGTTGAGGACCATGTACACCGGACACTCTTCTTCTTCCTGTTTGATCGAAGCGATTTTTTCCTCATCCTCAGAGCCCTCGACCAGCGCCGGCACTGTAAACCTGGATCCGCCATCTTGCTGCCCCACGGGCCCCTGGATTTCCATCTTGGTGTCCCTGTAGCATGTAGTACTTGCGGAGGGACACGGCAGAAAGCGTCGCACGTAACGTGACCCCATACCTTCATGGTGTACTCATCCGCCGATTACACCATTTGGCCGGAACTACATAAACATTCCGTGGAACCAGGGGCAGGGAGCGCGCTCTCACCTAGAACTCAGGGTGGCGGGAGCGTGCCCTAGCTCTCTGTGAATTATGGCTAGGAGAATGTATGACCGAGATATGTTATCTGAGATCCCACACACTGACTGGTACTGCTGGCTCGTTAAACGGACACTATAGGCACCAAGACCACTTCACCTTGTCATTGAAGTGGTGTGGGTGCAGTGTCCCTGCAATCTGCAATGATTGCCTTTCAGGACTGAGATTGGCCCTAGTTACTTTCAATCAGACACTAGAGGCACTTACTGGTTAACAGACTTTAGGTCCCTGATGCTGGATGTACTCACAATCTGCACGAGGACACCCAGCGTCAGTAAAGTTCTGGGGAGGGCCTGATGCGCAGAGCGCCAAGGGACATCCTTGCTCGAATCGGGTAAATGACTAAAGGTTTTTTTTTGGGGGAGTTTAAACCCTTTAGCTGATGGCCACAAACACTGGCCAAAGTTAGCGTTCATATTTGTTTGTGTGTGAAAAATGCAAAAAAACTAAATTGAACTCTAATTTTGGCAAGTGTTTGTGACCAAGTGGCTGCTAAAAAAGACTGGACATACCTCATATGCAATACCTTGGGTTGTCTACTTTTGCAAATGGTATGGGGGTAATTCTCATTTCTGGGCTACCATATGGTCTCAAAGGCAACATAACCAATCGGGCAAAAAGGAAATTCAATTTTTATATTTTACTTAGTAACTTTTGAAAACACCATAAAACCTGTATATGAGGGGTACTGTTATACTCAGGAGACTTTGCTAAACACGAATATTAGTGTTTCAAAACAGTAAAACCTACCACAACAATTATATCGTCCGTGAAGGTACAGTTTGTGTGTGAAAAATGCAAAAACAAATTCATTTTCACATAGTTGTGATATGTTTTACTGTTTTTAAACACTAATATTTGTGTTCAGAGAAGTCTCCCGAGTAAAATAGTACCCCCCCCCCATGTACAGGTTTATGGTGTCCTGGAAAGTTACAGGGTTAAATAGAGGGCTTGCGAGCCAAATTCTCTGGACTTTCTGCCTGGGTTGTCAGGCAGGTCCCTTATATATATTATTAATAAAATGACTTAATTATGTAAAAATATTAGATAAATATATTTGTAGAATTTAAATATATATGTATACATTTGCATATATATATATAATTTTTTTAAAAAATTTTTTATATAAAGCTATATATAGATACATATATGTATATTTGATGTCATTCTAAATGTATTTTGAATTTATTATATATGTATATTAATATCAAAATACAGTTAGAACAAATTAAAACCGGTATATAATTAAAATAAAAAAATTAAATTTTATTTTTTTCAGATGATAAAGACTCTGAAGGGTCAAAACGTTGATGTAGGTTGATGAACACTTTATAAATACACTATTGGAAAATCCAAGTGAGTGCTCCTGTTTGACTGCGTTTATATATATATATAATAGGGTGAATTAAAGGGAATCATGACATGTCACACATGTCATGTGTCCTTAGGGGTTAAGTCACCCTATGTCTGTTGTGGGTGCAGGGTGTTTGTAATGTGGTTGTTTAGGGTTAAATGTTAGTGTGCTCTCCTGTCTTGCTAATGCTTGCAATCAACTAGGTGGATTTGGCTGTAGAACCTGTACAGCGCCACTTTTTGGTTGCAAGGATCTAGCAACAGCTATATGCACTACCTGAATAGCAAGGCTTGCTAATTTGCATATTGCTAATTCTGCAGACAGAGATATTTTGTGTTGGTTATTGACTTCTCTACCCCTTTGTATAAATGTTATTATGTTATTATAATTCCCTGTATATTTTCTGACATGTTTTGGTTATTTGTATTTTATTAAGTTTGTCACAGCAATCTTACGTGTCTTTATCAAGGCAAAAGCAATCACTGGAAGGAAAGCTGCAGAGGAATAGGCAGAGGGGACTGTCATGGCAAGGGTGCATAATTCATTGTTGCACTATGGAATGTTGTAATTTATTGTAATTTGTGCAGTGCATAGATGAACTGGCTGCTTGGTAGAGGTGGTGTTGTCAATTCCAGAAGTAATGTAAATTGTATAGAAATGTGAAATGGGGCAGATGGTTTACAACATGGATTGATACTTTGATTAATCAAAGGCTCTGCAAGGTGTGAAATTCTACACTTGAGATGCCTGGATTTCTAGTTCTATGTAAACTAACTGACTTCAGTCATATGGCCTGTACCTCTTAATTAATTAATTTCTTTGATATGTTAATGATCATTAGCCTTCAAGAAAACCCTTGACTTCCAGTATCATATCCAAAAGAAATATTAATACTTACCCACAAAATAATAATTAAGTCTCATTTTTATTATAGTTAGAATGGGACAGTCTTCTAATCAAGCCTAAACAGGAGTTGCGTAATTTATGCAGTTGGGCAGGATTGTGATGTCCGCTATATTGGATCACAAGTAAGAAGTGTGACATATCTATGGAATGGAAAAATAGTAACACATTCATAGATGCAATTATTATTTCTGTGGCAAGTACAAATGCGGAGATTTAAGAACAAGTTTCTATTTGGATTGATGTTGGTCTGGAACACAAGGGGGTGGTCACTTATTGTCTCCATAAGTCTGCCTTATCTCCACCTTTTGGGCCAGGCTTGGTAATACACGGGGTATATATCCAATGATACTAAAATGTGTTTGTACTTGCTTGGGGCCAAAATCCAATTTTGAGTGAGTCACCATCTTCCTTGCCAGAGACCCCCTGGGCAGAAGTTTTACTTTGAAAACCTAAGTAAGTGATTAGGACTTCTGTTATTTTATCGGTTGTTGGTGTAAATGATTTCATTGTCAACTATATTTTTGTATGCACTGTGACTATTTTTTGCTCATAATAAATATTAATTTATTAAGTTCTGCCTTTGGTTAAGAATCACGTTATTTGAAGAGACTAATTAGTGTTTTGCAATTTCTTAAATATTGTGCTAAATTGTATTTGGTGGGTTTTTATGATTGATTTACCTGGGGGACCAAGACACCCCATTTATAAATTGTCTTGGTGGTGGCAGCGTTGAAATAATATTTATATTACTATGGTTAAGTGTGGGTGGTGTTCAGTGGGATTTTAGCATTATTTCCGGTCTAGTGCAGATAAATAGTGAACTTTAACCCTTTCACCACTACAACTACGTCATATACATTCTTGAAGTAGTGTGCGTTTATGACAGGGACGATACGTGCCAGTGGAATAAGTAGAGGGGACAATACCTGCCTAGAAGGAAAGCTGCAGCCTGGACAGGTGGAAGTGCTCCTGAGAGACCCCAGTCAAGCTTCGGCGACTGGGGCGTAAGCGTTCCAGGGTCCCTGCCCACTTGCCTCCTGCCCACTGTCAGAATTACTAGATGATCCAGCACGTAGAATTATATCACACCTAGGACTAAAAGGTAACGTCTTACCGGGCCTTAGAATGTCCGGACTTAACATACCAGAGAATAGTCATAATACTTGCCAAGGTCAGGGACACAGGAGGAGACACAACGATGAGGTAAAGCCAAAAGTCAAAGATACAAGAATACAGGGAAGTCAAAACAAAGCCAAAGTCAATAACCAGAAATAAACTGTCAGGAACACACTCTCGGACAACCACTAAGGGAAACCACGACAGGGCAATGAGCTGAATAGATGAGTTGAAATACCCCTCTTGTGGATCCGATTGGCCGTAACCAGCCTTTGACCCCAGAACGTGCATGTGCGTCCTTTGCGTAACGTCACGTGCACATTGACGTCGTCCATGCCGTTGGCGGACATCGGGATACAAATTGGTGTAGATCCGCAGCGTCCGGCGTCCATCAACATGCTGCAGGGGTCAGACATATTGACGCATGGCCGCTGAACGCCACTAATGCACTTGTTGGCAAGGCAATCACTATGTCGCAAGGTGATAATGAATATGTTACACCCACAGACTATGGTCCAGGTCTAAGACACTGTCTGGGAGTTACCCTGCCCAGTTGCCATTAGCAGCTTTCCCTGGGTGCCCCTGGTTCGGCACTTTCCCTTCATTCGAATGGAACCGAACGCTAGCTCTCTGACGACCGTTCACATGAACCAAACCCATGAATTGTCCTCAGCGATACTTCACCACGACCGCTCTGGAACTAATTTCAGGATGAGGACATGGGGTTCCCGGTCACCTCAGCAGTACTTAGCCGCGAATGTTGTGGAACGGTTTTTGGCATGAGGTGACCGTGCGGTTCCAGGACAACTTGCTCCTTGATTTTGAACCACTTTGCAACCCACCAGGAAAGTGCTTTTTGGAGAGAAGGTGCCTGAGACTAAAGGGAACTAATGCTACCTGAGAGCCAGGTGGAGCACCACATATTGCGGATGCAGGAGGTCACGAAAGTTGACCGGCCAGAGCACCAAACGCCCTGGAACTATTTTGGGCATAGGACCACATGTGCGGCAGGTTAGAACTTTAACACAGTGGTGTTTCCTCTACACTGCATGGATCTGAGCGCTATTTGGAGAACTTGGATCAGAAAGCATCCCTTCCAACACCAACACTGTACATTACACTATAGCGCCTGTAAATGCTGCAGCGCTGTACAGATATACAACCTGGACATTTTGACTTGGGGTGCCTTGGAAAAATATTGAAATATTAAGGGTGCCTTGGACCTAAAAAGTTTAGGAACCACTGGTAGAATGCTTCCTTCTCCAAGTGCATTAAATCTGCCTGACTTCTGCAGTGTGCATGCTCCTCCAGTTGGTGGTGCTATATTGTTAATGTTAGAGACTTTTCTGGAGTACCAGCAGTAGATTGAGAGTATGTCACAATACATTTTCTGGTTTGTTAATCAATAAATAAAACTCACTCCAAACAAATTAAACAAAGTCAGAAATTAAAATTAAAATAAAGGGCTGTATTCAAAATGGGGAGAGAGGAGGAAACTGCTTGGTCATTGCTACCTCTGAAATGTGTTGTGGTTATTAATAACAGTAGCCAAAAATAATTCAGCTAATACAAATAGAAAGGACTCGATACGGGAATGTTAGCATTTAGTTTAATTAAAAGGGGACATGCTAAGCACCTTAACCACTTCATCTTACTACTGGCAAAAGACAGTCCATGTTAATTTTTTTTTTTTTTTAAAAGGTTCCACTAAGGGCATACTTTTAAATTCATTTTTTATTCCTTCATGTGATGGGCTGCATCCCTAGGCTGTCAATTAGCTTACTGGAATGTGTGTGTCACATAGCCATATCAAGATATAGATTGAGTAGAAACTCCATACAAGGGTTAATTCAGGAGAACAGGGTGGCCTACAAACCCCCAAAATCCCCTCCTCCCCCCTTATTTTTTGAGTAGTGGAATTAGGATTACAGTAATAAGAATATAGGGCGACTTGTTTCTGGTTTAAAACTCTTCCTCATTGCTGCAAGCTGGCAATTAGATGAGAGCAATCAAGCACCTGTGGTTGCCCAGTCCCTAAAGACCCCAAATCATGGCACAATACGATAGGGCCTTTAATAGTACAAGGGAAAGGCATCTACAACCGGCCCCCAAATCTCCTACGTATTAATGTGGGGCTGTATTACAAATACTGGAGACCAGGACCAGCTGCTGTTCCCTTTCAAGCCCCCGTCTAGAAGCATAGGAAGGGGGCTGCTCTATAAATAAAACAAATGGAAGTCCTAACTTACCTGACTTCAAGAAAATTGATAAAATTAACTTGAGATAAAATGTATAAAAATCCTTTCCCCCCCCCCCAAACTATTTGCGTTTGTTAAACATACAAACCTTAGAGGGCGCTAACAATTCGCAACAAGGCCATATGAACATTTGGGATATAGCTGGCTGCAGTTATATACCATGGGGAGAGGGTGGAGGTATACATCATACATAGCTTAGCTAACATTGAGCTTATTTAAGGAAAAACACTCCCTTAATAAAAATGCAACAAGTTTGTTTGCCATGAAATTTACCAGGTTGTAGTGTATATTACAATATAGTTTTATATTTCCAAGCTTATGGATAAACTCCATTTTTTCTTTTGGACGAAGGTATATTAAAGAATAACAGGTTTGTTCACTAAACACTAATTTTAGTGAACACAGTTTAAATGGCAATATTGAGGCTTAATAGCTTTTGCTTGTTTTGTAATTTGCACAAATTCCCATAACCTGCTCTAATCAAAGCATGGCTATTTTAGCCATGTGGATTTAATGCCCTAAAACAGGTTGTTTGAGGAATAACTATAAAATATATATATATATATATATATATATATATATATATATATATACACACACACACACACACATACATACATATACATACACACACACACACACACATATATATATACATACATATACACATATATTTCTCTCATCTACTTTTTCACAGCGTGCATTGCTGTGGGGTATTCAAAATGTCAGCTCTAGGTTTAAGATGGTGGTCATCACAAATTGCTTAAAGACCTGTCCTAGGTAACATTTGATGGATGGTAACACATGAAGGAAGAAAGGGAGGAGAGATATTTTCCGATGGTCATCACTTTTGTTCTCTGTCCAGAAGTATAAAATGGGGGTCTATGGTAGATTCTGTAGTTTCATGGATTATCTAACGATCTCCATTATGAGAAAGGAGATCTCACTGAATAAGAAGATGCCCTTTTCCATCCTACAGAACTTCTGTCTAGCCATTTTAATAGGCATACTTAAAATGGCTTATGGGATGGTGCCAGTATAGAAGGAAGCTCAGTCTAGTGGTTATGTTGCCAGTAATCTCTGGACACCAGCAGGTTCAGTTTTAAACTGTTTGGGAGAAGTTTCACAAACAAATGTGGGCCCTCCCCAACAACCAAAGATTTCTCCATATTCATTCACATTGAGTTTAGGTATTTTACAGTTTTGCATTATGAATGTTGATTTTATCCAACATGACAGGTATTGGCTGAGAGGGGGTTTAGACATTCCGCACAAATGTTACCCTTATATATCTTCAATACTACACCAAAATAATGATTCAGTTACAAAAAAAAAAAAAAAAAAAATACTATGAGATGGTTCATGATTTAGTGAAATATTGTATTCAGTTACACAACAGATGTCGAAAACCATTTCAGATTTCTTTCTTGCAATATGCACGAGATAGAAAGATTAGAGGGCACTGTTTAGCTGGGAGGTTCTGATGTGTTCTAAAAGGAACACAAATCATTCTTGGCTTTTCGTTTGGTAACAGGAGGGTCAATGCATGTTTAAAAAAAAAAGCAAATATGTGAACAGGCTGCATGACTCAGGAGAAGATTGGGTTCATTTCAAGCATAGTTGTGGAAAGGAGCAAGTCTGTGGTGAGTGCCACAACTGAACGCACAATTGTAGTGGTCAGAAGACCAAATTAAAGGTCATTTTTTAAACTAGAGAGCGCCTTCTCCAGCAGATCCTTGTTCTTCACTGTATGTGGGAGGGTCACACTCAGATTTTCATCCTCTTCCATGGTTCGAACTATCGTATCATAGGCATTACTATTACCGGACCAGCAACGTCTGGCCACCTGGAAATACACAAAAATAGATTTCTCTCATTGGGTTACAGTAGCAAAACAAATGCAATTTCAAGTTCACAAAAAAAAAAAAAAAAAAAAGACACACAACTCAACTACGGTTACTAATCTGACCATGAACGATGCCACATTGCTTTACCAGTCACCCTTCTAACAATGTTAGCGTGAACATGAACATTCAAGCTGCATGCATATGGCAACATGATATAGGCAAAGATTTGCATTGTACGCCAGGCTGTGCCTTAACTTCATCACAAGAGACAAAAAAACCAAACAAACAAAGAACACACACCACCAGAGTAAGGATTATTATAAACCTTTCATGGTTTTTGGGGTTACGGGAATAGCCAGAGTTTGAACTCTTTCAGCCAATCAGGATATCCGTATAATAAAAGGATGTCAAGAACTTTCTTTTAATGTTAAAACATGACTCAGTCTGTTCACTTTCCCCCCCCCCCACAGTGTAATGCGGCAACTCTCAGATAAAAAAAAATAAAAAAAAAATCAACGTTAAACCTACCCCATTGGAGACATCCCAGCTTAGCATATTCCGAGCGCGGTCTTCAGCCTCCTGAGAACCATCCAAAACCAAGCCAAAGCCACCATTAATTACCTCACCCCTACAAAATAAGGAAGGAAAAATAAGGATTGACTTTGTTTCTGTAAGAATGTGCTGGGGAAGTTGTGCTCTTTGATGATCACATCAGGAAAATATTTGTTTTATATATATATATATATATATATATATATATATATATATATATATATATATATATATATATATATATATATATATATATATATATATATAATTTAAATTCAGCATTTTCATTCCCAGGCTTTTAAATATTAGCTTGGCTCCAAATGTCAGGCTACATGGAATGCCTCAGAGGATAAAACGTTGAAATTAATAAGGTTCTACAATGTTCCCTTATACTGTGATACAGCTGGTGGGATCTAGCCAGCAAGACTAAATTTAGCTACTTCTCAGGAAAGCATGTTTGAACATTATACACTAGGACAGAGAAAAACCTCCATTTCAAATTTTGTGTTCCTGAAATAAACATTTTAGTAGGAAAACAGTAGGAAACAAAAACCAAGAACCCTGAAAATAAAATCTGTATAGCTGTGTCTCTATAGTCTTTATGAAGGAATGTATATCTAGGAAAATTTTAAAATTATGCATGGCAGTTTGCATACAAAATAGTTAAACCTTTTAGACAAGTGTAGCAGCCAGATGCATTAAAAAAATAAATAAAATAAATAAAAATAAAAAAAATTAAATGAGACCACAGGATCCTTCATAGATAAAGCCAATTCTCTGCAGCCGTCACTGGTGACAACTTGGGGGATTGACACATCAAGATGATGGTAGCTCCCAGTGTTTAGACAAAGTATTCTACATACAACACATCTATTTATACACAGAAATGTGGGTTCCCACACCAGAGGGTCCTCTATGCAATGCAATAGCCCTTAGAATAGTCCCAGCCCGGCGCTATCTATGTGGGGGTCTTAATTGCATCATCCCTAGCTAACAAGAGACTACCTGCTTGCGTTGTACAAAATGTCCCCCAGAACCAACAATCCCTGGACACCATACCCACACATTTATATATGTTACTGGATAGCCCATCATCCAGTGCCCTTACTGATCAAATAACACCGTGGTTGGTGGTCAATGACAAAGTGATACCGAACAAAGATTCACCGGATTGCCGCACAGTCCAGATCCAGCAATCAGTTCCAGAGTATCTCCTGGTCAGGCGCTTAATAGCAGAATGGGTACTAGTTATCCCCAAGGGTGTCCCAATTCCATCTGAAAGGCAGAATAAGTGTCCAGGGCGTCTCCATAACCCCTTCCCATAGGGGCAATAGTCCTTTTTGTCCATGTTGGAATGGTGTCCCATGACAGGGTTAAACAGAAGGTTGTTTATCAAACTGGGAATTGCTGGAAACTGACCATGGAATTTCAAGTTTTAGACCAAAACAGACAATTTAGACTCTCCCACCCCTCAACTAAGCCATCTTTCCACTTGCCTGGATAAAGAATGGTTAGATGGATTGCAAAGTCATTTATTCTTGTACCCAGTGTTTATATTCCAATCAGGTTCTCTTACGCTTACCCTCCTAACAAACATACTCTTCAACACTGCTACAAAATAATCTGCACTGGTCCATCAACCTGCCCCTACAGCATGCAACTTCTAATCCCTTGTTATGCATGATCCACCAATCACTAAGTAACGCAAATGTGTTTCAGAATAGCAGGATATACCCATAACCAAAATCAAGTTTCCTTTCTGCCATAGATGGAAAGCAAATTGCATCTGTCTAGAATATTTACATATTAATGAAATCTAACAAGATGAGGAAATAATTGTTGATCTTTTTGACATTTAAATGGAGCATTCACACCAAGTATTCAATAAAGTGGAGATTGTGGACAAATTGAACTGAAAATTCGATGGCAGGAGGAATTCTACAAATACCAAACTGTGGCCTTTAAAATTTCAATTTTCTTGGTCAGTATGGTCAATCCATCACAATTCTTGGGGTAGTGAATAAGACTAAAGCAGCACAAGTCAAACAGTGAATGTACAATCTGCCAAAGTTGATTCTTATTAGTTATCCACTTACCAGCCAACGCCTCCTCCATTATGCAGAGATACCCATGTGGCTCCTCTGAAGGCGTCTCCCACAAAGTTCTGCACAGCCATATCTGTCAGAGGAAGAGAAGGGACATAGTTGTTCAAAGTAGTCACTTGGGAGGGCTGTTAGGCAGAAATTGGATTAGCTAGATGTAGGTAGAAGAGTCTGCATCGTTTTTTGATCTGGTATGTTATTTATTGATAAATATCTTGTTACTTGAGTTTCTGAGTCTACATAATGCTACAAGGTAATTTCCACGTTAATAATAAAAATAAAAAAAAATACATTATAAAAAAAATAGGGGGGCGGGAGGGGAGCTCAGAAGTTGCTCTAGAGCTGCAGCACAGATTCTCAAAATGACACGAGTGGGGTACCCCCATTCTGCAGTCTATTAAACAAGGGTTTAAGGCCAATACACATTACATAGCTGCCCTTCAATACATATTAGTTACAGTCCACTAAACAAATTTCAGTGAGCAACATTGATTGTAAGAAAAATTCCCTTAAAACAACCTGCGCAAAAGGCAGAGCCATCATAGATATTCGAGGTTTCTCTGAAGGGGCTGTCTGTTCCACTGACGTCATGATGATCCCGACTGATCACTACTGGACCCTACAGATTAAATTTTTTTTAGCCATTAATAAACATCACAAGGGGCAGAGTCTAAACAACTCTAACACTTTAAACACCAGGCGGTAGGAGGCAAATACATTTATATCAAGATAAGTCTATCATGATGGTCATTAACAAGTTAAGGGAAGTTGACAACGATTTTTCCCCATCATGGCTAAACTATCTGCTTTATATAGATCAACGTATTTTACATATTACAAATATTTTCATAGATAGGTATCCATTTTAAATTTTAACTAGGAAGACACTTTGGTAGGGCATAATACTGAAAGATACAGGATATACACCACATATGGATTTCTGTTTATTAATAAAGTGAAGTAACTAGAAACCACAAGCAAATGGCAGGTTTATTCCACTAAAAGAGAAATATAGTCATATGTAGTAAAAATAGCGCCATGCTAAGAATGCCCACTTTGAACGATCAAATATTCAACATTTCATCAAAAACAGAGTAATGTCTGATTAGACTGAATGCTCACCAAAGATGGGACAGGAGAACAGTATAAAAAGGATATGTTAAGAGCAGAGGGAAGGCAGGAAAAAAACATTTTAAAAAAATACACCACACTTCTGACATGAATGTCATTCAAATCATCAAACGTTGGAATGGCCTCCCCCATTATCTCACCTTAACCTGTCCAGTAGCAACTGCTTTATTGATGGCCACAGCAATGGAGACACGTCCTTTTTGGTCAGAGTACAGAATCCTGGCCTGGGAGCCAACGACCTGATTGAAAGACACGTGAGATCTTCATTGGTGTCCGGTTATGCATCGAGAAGGGGCATATTGTTAAATTGTGATGCCATGAACGACCACATAGCAAAAACCAGAGAGACTTACTAGATTATGCTTTCCAGCTTCCTTAATCCATTTCAGATTGTCGCTGTATTGTTTCTTCACAGGTTCACTGACTAGAGAATAGGAAGAAAGGGTCGGAATTTACATATATGAAATAAAGTATGTGAACCCAACAATAATAAAAAATTAGATTAAGGAGAGAGTTTATCAAGAAACCTCAGAGGCATTATAGTTTATCTTTGGCACATCAAGTTCAATATTTATTAGCTATAACCCACAATTAATTTATTTCACAAAATGGCAGCCACATGACTTGCTTCAGTGGGTAAAAAGGTTATGAAAATAAATACCGTATTTATCGGCGTATAACACGCACTTTTTCTCCCTGAAAATAGGGGGCAAATTATGGGTGTGTGTTATACGCCGGACCTTTAAATGCTGCAGCCGCCTGAGCGCTCTGTCAAGAGCGGTCAGGCGGCTGCAGTTGGTTCTCACCTCCCCTCCCCTGTAGCGTGGCCAAGCTGCTCTGCTGTCCGCGGTGCCCGGCCGGAGTGATAGGAAACAGAAACTCCTGTACCCGGTCGGACTGACGGGAAGGTGCACACTGAGCGTGCACCTTCCTATCACTCCGGCCGGGCACCGCGGACAGCAGAGCAGCTCGGCCACGCTACAGGGGAGGGGGTAAAAAGAGAGTGGGGGGGGGTAAAAAGAGAGTGGGGGGGTAAAAAGAGAGTGGGGGGGGTAAGAAGAGGGGGGTAAATAGAGGGGAAGGGGGGAGTAAAAAGGGGGGTAAGAAGAGGGAGAGGGGGTAGTAAGAAGGGGGTAAGAGGGGGAGGGGGAAGTAAGAAGAGGGGGAGGGGGGAGTAAGAAGGGGGTAAGAAGTTTTTTTTTTTTTTAAATTTAAGTTTTTTTTCCCTGAAATTTCCTTCTTAAAATGAGGTGCGTGTTATACGCCGGTGCGTGTTATACGCCGGTAAATAATAAAATAAAAACACACACACACACACACACACACACACACCACACACCTGCACTAGACAATAGAAAATCCATCTTAACACCACCCACACTTCTAAAACCTTCGACCACCAATGTAATTTATCAATGAGGTGCAGATTGAAAAACCCACATAAATGTTTAACAAAAATGCCGGTGAAATCACAGCAGTAGTCTATAAGCCTGTTCAGTAACAGGATTCTTGTACCAGGCAAAGGATGGACCTTGTAAAGAAACAATATGAACAAAACACTAAATCACAGTGCATACAGGAAACAAAAACCACACACATATACATCTATATCTGACATACACCAACAAGCAGGATTCTTTGTTACATATTCTTTCTGTCCCAATGGAGCTTTTGGCTCTCAAAAAACAGATTACGAAGATCTTTATTTAGGGTTACTACCACTATATAAGGTGATTAATAAATGTACGTGTGGCTAATTAGTTTTGCAAGTGGCTAGTTAAGTATGTGTGACAGTTTGCTTATATCCAAGATAAAGTATATAGGTGGTTGGACTTGGATGGGTCTAGGACAGACAAAAACCTAAATAGATCACTGGATAAAAAGGTGAAAACAACAACAAAAAAAGAAAAAGTTAGTGGGGGGAGGGGGAGGCAGAAAAATTACTGTATTATGGATTTCAGGATAATCCCTCACTTGTCAGTAGTAGTAGTACTACTGTGCAACCCAAATTGTTTATTTGGCATCATAAGGATCAAGCAGAGTCGACTCACTGATTGTAGCAATGGCTACCCATTACCCGATTCATATGATGTGTCTATTCCGGTCATTTAAGACCTACCAGTTTTGGATACCAGACCTGGGGTTATCTACTGCAATACTATTATGAACTTTAAGACGACCAACTTTCATGTATAGCAATCAAATGTCTTTATACCCTCTGCTTGCGAAATAAGCTCTTCAAGGACAGAAGCGGCTATCTGGTCAGTGACCGAAAGATCTGCGGGGTCTGCGGAGGTGCACACCCATCGGAATGGTCCAAAACCCATAGAGAATATATTGCTGTTCAAAAACACAACAAAAATTAGCAGATGTTTAGAATTCTTCACTTATTTGCTCTGTCAACGTTGTGCTTTCATTTCATTAACCAAAAGGGGAGGGAAAATATATAAAAATAACTGAAACACATTGCTAACTCCTCTTGTTTCAAAAAAAGCAGTCACCGTCCTCCTTAACTCTTTTATAACTCGATCCCTACAACCACAGCCAGGTATGGAAAATAAAACATTTACAAGAGTATTGTATCAGGTTTAGAAGATTGTGTTAGTCAATATACTTTTAGACTTGTAAATGCAGAATAAATACCAATTTATCAGAAATTATGTCTTACCCCATAATATGTTGAACGTAGGATGGGTATCGAAACTCTATGCCAGATCCCCCGGGTTTCCCTACATCAGCTCCTAGGCAGGGTTAGAAAAGGGCTTTATTTGGCACAAATCCTTACTTTATAGCTATGAAGATAACAAACAAGACATATTTACATTAAGTCATTCATATCCATGCAAACCGCTTCCTCACCGGCTCGCCGTGCCTCAAGCAGGAAAGCATTTCCATAGTCCCAGAAAAACATGCCAGCATCAGACAGTTTGTTGATGGCGGCTACCTGCCGCTTTAAGCTACGAGAGAGAGTGCAAATTAATATATTAGATACAATTTCTTTATTAGTTAAATTTATTGAGAAAAGTTAGGTCTCTGAATAATGCAGTGATCATCTGAATACAAGAATCTTGTTCTCTGTAATACAGGATTAACAATTGTGTTAAAAAAAATAAAAATAAGGAAATGACTTGTTCCTGTTTAAGCAGCTGCAACTCTTCTAGCTGTGACTCAGTCTCCATGGCAAAATAAAAATACATTAAAATTTTTTATTTTTTTTTAAGTTTCATTTTCAATCAGATCTTACAGAGCAGTGTGTTTACTGCTTAGTGAATTAAGCTTTAATTACATATAGGAAGCTGTTGCAGGCTATTAACAGAGAAGGATATAAAACATTCTATATTAAACAGACTGTGCAATAAGGGAAGTTAAAACCAATAAGACTCTTGTCAGGAAATGTGTAGGTAGGCTGTGTGCGTCCTAAACAAAGTGATTTAACTCATAAATGGCACAGAACTGAGCAATGAGACTGCAGGAGCACGTTTAATGTATTATCACATCCACGGTTTATCACTGTATGCATTGTTGCACAAATAAATATAGGAGGCCTGCACATACACTCACCTCTCTTGCACAAGCGGGCGGAAATAATCTGGATCAATACGATCATTGGAAATGGTTTCATTGAATTGCAGTTGCACTGGATGATAGCCGCCATTAAAGGGGTTGTGTAATGAAGTTTGATCAGATCCTAGGTCTACCAGTCGTTCACCTGTTTTCTCATATTCCTCCACCAGCCTCTCCCTGCAGAAAAAAGACATTTCTGTTAATACAGGTCAGTAATAAAATCAGCAGCAGAATAACCTTGGCACAAATAAAGGATTCTTTCTTAATAGGAGGGTGGTTAATGTATCGATTAACCTATTGACTAATGAGAACCTGGATGCAACCATATCAGTTTAAATGCAAACGGAACCTGCTTACCTTCTCAAATGCTTCAGAGATTGCTTTCAACTGACAAAGAAAACAAAATTTCCTTGACACAGATCCTTGCAATAGTCTATGATATTATGCCAATACGAACACTTTTTCAAGAACGAATGTCAACATCAAGGACACCTTTTGATTCTTATATAGTCATTCTTTCATACTTGTACATTATAGGCCCCACCACTTCCTCAGTAAGAACCACTGGGTTAACACATAACCAAGTACACAAAACTTACCAAAGATCTACAATATTCCCATGGTATCCCAGACTCAAAACCTCTTTTTTCTTTTTTGCATTTCTGTAAAAATATAAAGAAAAAATAAAAAAATTCTGTTTAGATCTCCCATATCTTCACACACAGAGACACCCCATCACTACCCATAAAAGGGACATTGGATTAATGTTAACTAAGGTACAGTCAGAGCAGGGAAAAGAAAGTGTGTGTATATATTATGTTTTTCATGCTTTCTTTATTCACGGTGAATAAATCATTGTACAATACAGTAAGTAGATAAGTGGTAAGATAAAATTAGTATAGACATAAACAACAGTACTGCATATAACATAGGTAGGTATGAGGCATTCTAGGCCGTAGGGTTTTGTATTTTATAATGAAATATGTAATAAGGTTTAGTAAATTAGACACTCTGCATCCGTTACCCACTGTAAGATAATGAAATAGTAAATAGTAGAATGGATACTTAAGGGTAAGGAGTAGAGTATGCCTCCGGTGTAAAGTATTGGGATCAAGAGGCGTTGTACCTCTAGGTTAATCGAGGAGGCTATAGATCCCACTTAATCGGTGGTGGAATAGTTAGCGTAACGTTGTGGAGTAGCAGGGGGGGGGGAAATTGTGGGGTCCTTTTGACCATAAAGGATGCCAGTTAGGCAGTGTCAAAGCAATATCAAATGTAAACTTGCGCTATACAATCGCTTGCAAACAAAACTATGACAATCAACAAAAGAAACATAAAAAGGTATAGTAACAGAAAAGCACAAGTGTACACGTAAGACACAGTAGGGAGACCCACCATGGTATAGTTTATTAGCAAGCAGCTCTACTAGCTACCTGACAAGTGTTGTACCTGATCATCTCCATACAGTCATCCAGAGAACTGGTAATCGCCATTAGCCATCCTTGTTGGAGTCTTTTCTCCAGAACCAACTGATCCACCTATATTGGGGGAGGGGGAGGAAACAAACAAAACAAAAACGGACATGGCATCACTAGTTAAAGGTCATGAAACAAACACCGGAGCCTAGAAACCGCTTAGAAGAAGTAAACACAAGATCTAATATGCCATACGTTTTTTGCATTATCTACTCAAAACTGTTGAGGTACATGGTTCCAAAATGTATTTTTAATTGGTGCTATACGTTACCATTATGGTCCCTAAGGTTAGAACCAACCTATATATTGTTTTGCTATAGTGGTCACATTTTGGAAAATAAATAAATCCAATGTTTTAATAAAATTGTATTATTTACTACAATCTAACAATGCAACCATCTTATTTCCATAGACGATTATGAGAATTACAGAACTGAAATGCAGTTATCGAAGTGTACATTGTTATCGAAAGTTATTGACTGTTGGCCTGTCTCCCAACATCCCTGATTTCTGGGTCTTGTCCTGCCATCCTGACTGTTCCCTGGTGTCCTGCTTTTGGGAAAAATAGTGAAATGGTCCCATGAAGACTAGCATAACTGCATCATTAGACTCACTTGTGCTATGCTCAGGGCACTAGGACCCTGCAGAGAGCACAAATTTTTATTTTTATTTTTTTTAAAGTGCTCTCTGCATGGTCCGCCCGTGGAGGCGCGTTGGATTGACAGGCAGCCTCAAAGGGTCATGTCAATGACGCAAATTGCATCATTGGCTTGCCCCCTTCCACTCTGGCGTCCCTCTTCATGGGATATTCTGTTGGTTTAACAGGCAAAACAAATAAATTAGTCTGTTAAGTAACTAGGGCAAGCAGAAGGCTTCCATGATCAACATTTATGCCACATTGAAATAAATATTTAATTGTGCAACAAAGATTTACCTCAGCTATAACCCCCACACAGCCAACTATCACTGCTGCTTTGGCCTGGGCACCACTCATTCCTCCAAGACCGGATGTCACAAAGACCCTTCCTGCCAGGTCATCCAAACCCAAGTAAATACGGCCAGCGTTCATTATGGTCAGCTGGAAGAGACAGCACAAGCTGGGCTTAATTCACAGTGCAAGCCAATCAATGGCAATACCCAATTGAAACCCGACATCAATAACGGAGTCAAACAACATAAGCAGGCTTTTTTAACTGCTCTTCCTCTCCCCTTGCCCCCCATTGGTCAATCTTCACTTCACTGGCGAATAAAATCAGCATTTCGTAACGGACAAGCCACCATTTTTTCCCCCACCAACCATCTTGTGTGTCATGGATGGAACCAATTCACGAATGGCAGTTCAGAGTTGCCAAACTTGGAGGAATTGCGATTCTTTTGAAACAGAATGAGGAAGTCTATTACTTACCACTGTGCCATGAACAATACCCTGCGGCCCAATGTAACAGTAACTCCCAGCAGTCATCTGACCATACCTGACAAGAAACAGACCAAAGAACACGCTTACAGAATATACTTAGAATGGCAATGGTTTTAATACCAACATATACCAAGATAAATAAAAACAAGCATGTCTTTTACTGAAGGGAAACGCGTCAGTTTGATCAGGATTACACAGACCATTATTAAATGTTAATATTGATTATAGATTTGCATGTATACTTCAGGCAAGCAAAGGATTTAATCTAGGTTTGCTGGGAGTCTGGCTGATGCCATGGAATACAATTCATTCCTTAATCTCACTTGGTTATACATAACCTGCAAGATAGACGTGGCAACTTTTACAGAGTTGTAATGTCAGCTCACCTTTTGTTTTTTTTACCCTCTACTCCCCCTACCCCGTAAACTAAATATTCCATATGACCAGAGACAGCAAACATTTCCAATAAACAGCAAAAAGAAAATTTTGTATATGAGAAGGGAATGTCAGTCAACACATTGATCAGAAGAAAACTTTCTTACATAGTGACACCAAGGGCAAACATCCTCTCGTATTCCTGCTTGGAGGAATAATTGGGAATGACCTAAAGATGGAAAAAGCTTCTGGTCAGTTGAAAATTAAAAAAACAAAAACAAAACATTTTATATATTTTAGATACAGCAGAATTATAGACACAGGATTCCTTTCAGTAATGCATCTTTTCTAAAAATTTCAGTTCACGGTCCCTTTAAAGTGTACCGCTTGTGGTAGAAACAACAGGTATCCACCTGTCAGTCACTTGCTGGCAAACACATCTATGAAGAGAATTCTGTGCCAACAATTGAATGATTAAGAAAAGCGTAATAATCCTCTTGCTGGTGGTTGTCCTGCTCTCCTCTGTGACAGTCACTCCATTACTTTAGGGTCTCAGAAAGTATAAAATGTGCTTGTCGGGGGAATATAAGAATGAAGTGGCTCCAAGAAAACTGCAGGATTGGAAGCGGTTTTGAGATATAACTCCAATGAAAACATACATGTATTTCAGTTATGCAGTTTTATTCATTGGGGTAGATCAACTAAACCATATTGTTATTTTGGTAGGGGAGTATCTTTTTACAGGAACATTATAGTGTCAGGAATGCAAATGTGTATTCCCAACACTATAGTTGGTAACTATTTAGGTCCCTGCTCCCATTTAATCACATAGGAATGGTGTTTTTTACTCACCTTTTCTCACACATGTGCCAGTCTTGCCACGGATGGCTTTACCTCCACGGCTGAAATCATTAAGCTTTATGATCTCAGCCAATCCAATGCTATCCCTTAGGAAAACATGCCATCAGCATCTCCTCATATAGATGGACTGAATCAACGTATCTCTATGGGAAACATTCAGTACATCCACGCAGAGCATGGAGGTGCTGAACACAAGTGCACTGGACTAGGAAGCACCTCCAGTTCCCGACTTAGTGACCGCCACTAGAGGTGTCCCTAGGGAGCAATGTAAATACTCACTCTTCACAGTTTGCAGGTACAGGCTTTAGACCCCCAAACCACTACATTAATCTGTAACGGTTCTGGTGACTAGAGTGTCCCTTTAAAAGTTTTTATTGAAGTGGTTATAATGCCAGAGAACCCCAACTCCACCCCTTTGTTTAATGATGAATGAGGGTCCTATTGCCTTTCAAAAATAATTTAACACTGAATGGAGAGATATTGATAGCGGTCTCCAGGTTCTTTAAGCACTTCAATAACAATTTCATTTTTTTTTTTTTAGTGTCCCTTTAATTACCATTTTATGTCAGTATTCCAGGGGCACATGCCTCAAACTAACATCTCCATTGCCTTTAGTCTATCTAATGAATACCACCCCAGGAACAATTTAGCTGGCGAAAGATAAACAGAGCATGAGAATTCAGAGAACGGGCAAACTCTTAGAAAACCCCAATAACTTGCCATTTGGTTAATCCCCTCTCACGTCTCAAAATAGTTTTCACTGACTTGTGCCATTACAGAGTGAACCTATATTATTTGCAGATCAGACTGACCCACCCGTAAGGGCATTCCAGACCATATCGGAAATGCCAGGCAAGTTCTCCCTTAAGAATTACAGCATTCCCAGACAATCGTTCCAGTCTTCTGTGGGCCTCTCTGGGCAGGTGTGGCTGATACCCCTTTGAGCATAGTGTGCATGGGCTCCACATCTGGATTACACTTTAATTTAGAAAGACCCCAAGCAAATGTATTGAAGCAAAAACATATAACTGAACATGAGCAAAAGCTATTTACCCTATGGTCTCAAAGTAGTTTTTGATCACTTGTGCCTTTAGCATTGTAGGATGATGCAAACCAATCATGTGATAAGTAAAAAATTAGTGAGAAATACCCACCATTCCATTGGTGATCACAACTCGAGGGGCTGAAGGATGACTGGGAAATAGTCCTAACGGATGTCCACTGTACATAACAAGTGTCTGGTGGTTGGTCATCTTGGATAGGTAGTGCATTGCGAGCCAAAACTTCAGAGATAAGAAAACCATGCTACATTATTACATATGATCCACAACTAACTATACAAAAAAAAAAAATCCCACACCACACATCCTTATGCTTACTTAAAACTGCAATAACAAAAAAAATGTGATATACGTAGCGAAATCTCTCGAGATATTGATTAAAAATCTTTAATGATTAAGCATGCCAAGTATTTTAAGACGAAATGGTCACATCAAAAATGTATGCACAACTAAAAAGGTTAGCTATGGGTTTTTGTGCTTTTTATTGCATTTCATTTGTCAGTTCTAAACGGCTTTATTTCATTTACATTGTACACCAGGCTATCCCAGCACATCCAGAGTATACCATGCAAATTCATTTTCCTGCACATGAAAGGCTCGTGGTGGAGTATAGCACAATAGAGGCAGTGCAAGGAACATGAAATAATGCAGTTTGTTTTCCTGCACTATAGCTTCCCTTTAACTTGTTCTGGCTTCTCAAATTGTTGTTGTGCTAATCATGTGTGCAAACAAGATATCAATTTTATTGTACATTGTTGTGCACTAGTAATATTGAGTTATTGTTCTTACTTGAAAACAACATCTTTTTCGTTAAATAAAGATTGGAAAAAGGGAAGAAGAAAAATATATGATGTAACAAATTTAAAATGGTGACCTGGCAACCCTATAGAACAAGGCTGGCATCCAAAGTTAAGCCTCTGATTCAGTCAGTCATTCTTCTGACACTCTCCCTATGGGGCAGGATTTCATTCAGGACACACTTCTCAAGGCAAACATAATTGGATGATCCAAGGAATTCAAATATGGCAATAGGACAGGTGCATACATAATAGGATAACCTGGAGATTTTCTCATACATACCTGGGCCCAGTTACTGAAAACTTGACCATTCCCTCCATAAGTCACTAGCTCCTGGGGAAACTGGGTAGAAAAACCATCAGGTTAATTAGCATTGTATGTAAAGCTTCAAAGGACATTATAGTCACCAGAACAACTACAGCTTATTGTATATAGACAATCCCTTCAGGCATTTTGCACTGTCTTTTCATACATTTGAAGTTTAGGGACACTTCCAGCTGCCACTCTGCAGTACTGTACCAGGAAGCACCTCCGGTGGACATCTGCACAGTGTGCAACACTACCGTTCAGCGTCTCCACGTTCTGCATGGAGACACTGAACTTTCCTCAGAGAAGCATTGATTTAATGCATCTCTATGAGGAGATGCTAACTGGCTTGGCCGGTGTTTGGCCCCGCCCCACTTCCTTGGCGATCTCAGCCAATCCAATGCCTTCTTTACAGGAAAGCATTGGATTTGCTGGGATCATCAATTCTGATATTCTGATGTCAGCCAAAGAGTCAGTTCGTGGGCTGGGCCAACGTCAACAGACCTGAACAAAAAAGGTAAGCTTTAACCCTTTCTAAGTGCAGCAGGCGACCAACTGGGTTGTTTTAACACTATAGGGTCAGTAATACAGGTTTGTGTTCAACTTCATGGAAGATCAGCCAACAGAGGAAATACCAACATTCCAATGACGTCTTACAATGTTCTACCTACGTAATGAAAACTTTATTTAGGAAAGAAAATAGTGATGTGTTGACATCTTTATAAGTTCACATCTGGCATTAGTCTATTTTTAAATTTGAATACATTTCTTTTTATAAATTTTTATCTTGACATCTCATTCAGCAGCCTCTACATGGTTAGAGCATGACGTTTATAGGCTTTATTACATTTTAAGGCAGTTTAATTTATTTCAAACTGGATTGTTTTTTCCTCCAACAGATTATATACACAAGTAATCCCTGAACATATTAATGGGCTTATTTCATATTGTTGGGTTTCCACCTAGATCAGTTAGGATACATTTTAATACAAACTAATTTGGGTCGAATTGGAGAGTTTTATGTACTAAATTAGGATAGTGAATCCACATGTAAGTTTTTCCAATTGCCCCAAATATTCTTTTGAATTCATTACAATGTTGTTGAGTAGTTAAATGACCCAATTTAGGACTCAAAAAGTGAATTCCCTGCTCTCAAGTTTGCAGTGCATGCTACTTTCGGTATATCCTTCCCTGCCCCCCACTCCTGGACTGGTGGGGGTTATCCCGGTCTCTGCTGGACGGACTAATCTGCAAATATCTATGCTACCCAAGATGGTGGAGAGGCCTTCCCCAATGGCACAAAGCCTAATACTAATCTGTGCTGATGAAAGCAGCCTCGCTGGGTGCCCCCTGCGGAGATTGGAAGCAATATTTCAGGACTTTTGGGCCAGGCTGGAAAAGCATTTGGTGACAAACTCGCTGCTGCCTCAAAAGCAAGTCCTAGGACAGTATCCATTACCCAGCAGACCACATCAAGGTGACACATACCGGCGGAATCATGCTACTCACCTAAAGCACACACCTAAGCAGTGGAACGAAAAGGGCTCGACCCCTCCCTATCTCCTGCGATGACGGAGTCCTGCACTCCTGCCATGGTGGCAGCAAGCCACAATCCACCATGGTGGCGGGAGCAGAGGAGAATCTCACTCCCCACACTGTTTCAGCCTATATATTTATATTTTATTTTTTTACAGACCGTATAGAGCAGTCATCCTGACTTTAGGTTTAACACCAGTAATATACGTGTTGCCAGGCTAACTTGATTTTAATTAGACCTGTTGTCTTTACTTCTATTGTTATAATTTTTAAAAAACACCCTCCTGACATATTTATATGTAGCAACACCTCTAGTTTACTCCCCCTTGGAGTGGGCATAATGTCTGCCACCTAAAATTTTAACCCCCTAGATGATAAAGGGAGACCATAATGTCTGCAACCACTACCGTTTCCTTCTCACGCTAAGTAAGATGGTGGCAACACAGTTAAGTAGGCACCATCAGTCCTTACTCTTTGTGACAAAAGCAATTTTGACACTGGGTCTTGGAGGGGACTATTGGCCAGCCTTTTGCCATTTGACTATGGCCCCTTTAATTTATTTTGGCTGAGAGACCCGAATTGTGCCTATTGGGACTTTAAACATTTGGTTCTTCGAACTCCCGAACAGTCTCAGTGGCCGCCATTCTAACACGTGGTGGTGGCCATCTTGTTCGCATAGACTAAAACCGTGAATAGACTTCAGGGGGACTTAACCGCGAATGCCCTGGAACTATTTTCGGCATGAAAACCTCACGGTTCCCGGTTGGTCCTCCAGCGGCACTTAGCCGTGAATCTATGGAACTGTTTTGGGCATGAAACCCTGGGTTAGCCTGGGCAAAAATATGACTTGCATAAAATTGATCTGGGTGATTTTAGATATGTTGTTTGCCCAGATCAGAGCTATCAGGGGATATGTTATTTTTTGGGGTGTTCCCTAGACTTTGTATAAATTTGTGTTTTTTCTGCCTGTGGATAATTAGGTTTCTGCATTAACTACCTTAATTATATCACAGGCAGATATGGGGGGGGGGTGTTTAATGTATATGCGAGTGTTATACTGTTCTTATTGGTCTGTACAGTTTGTAATGCAGTGTTCCATCAGGTCCAGGGCGTGTGCCTCTGACCTCAGGAATTATAAGTATATAAGCCAACCTGTATCAATAAAGCTTCAGACTTGTTCTACCCTTCATGAAGTTTCAGCTCATGTTTGGGGGATTGGAGAACTACCTACACTCTGGGGATTGCTATAATCACTATACTCCCCAGAGTATAATCACTAAACTCTTGTAAGAACTTGTTCCTGCTCTCTGGATTAAGAGAGGTCTACCTACTGGAAGCTGGATCCTGGTCTTGGGTCCAGAGTAGGTGGAAGATGGCGAGACCCCAACCAAGCTGCGGTGGTTCGTGGGGTCTACGGTGGTTATGGTGTCTAGTGGAGTGCTTGGACCCTTCAGAAAGCACTAGAAGCATCAGTCAACGGAGGTACCCTGTCAGAGTGCCAGGCGATACGTTACACTTATGTTGGTCTTACAGGTCATAAAACAATACCACTTAGTGAGTATTCTCATCATGTCTAGACTAATAGCATGTATTTAAAGTTTTTGACATGTCTGCCTTGCATGATTATCTTATATTATAAAACTGTGCTGAAATCTCACATTGCCAAAAAATTGTTATGTTTCCTGAAGAGCTTGCTCTAGCTATTGTGGCATTGAACGCCTGCTTGTATTATCACTGCACAACAAAAAATAAAGAATTAAAAAATAAAAAGTAAATAAAAAAAATAAAAAAAGTGAATTTAGTAAACTGGAAAATGTAACAAAATCTTTTGATATGCCCACCGAAAATGACCGATAATTTTAATTTCACTGTGTGGCAAAAGTAACCTCGCCACTTGTACTTGGAGGGGGCCTGCTTGCTAGCCTCCTGCCCACAAACTATGGGCCCTGCAGGGAATCCTGTAAAAGACTACCCAACTTGACTGACTGATTTCCCTGGAACTGTTTTGGGCATAGGACCATGTGCATGGTCAGTCAAAACTATGACTTCCAGGAAATTCCTGAACCGATCTGGGTGATTTTTGGATAGGTTGTTCACCCAGATCGGGGCGATCCGATGTAATGGTTATGGGGTTTTGTGTGTTTTTTAAGGTACTTTTTGGGGTTTCATAAAATGGTATGTTTTACTGTGCTTGGAGATAATTGGGTTAGATTAGTGCAGTTCCTGATTCAATTATCTCCCAAGCACAGAGGAGGGATTCTATTGTTTGTGTATGGGAGTGTCTTACTGTATGACTGTTTTTAATTGGTTTATTTACTTTGTGTCCCTGTGCCCAACAAGGTCCACCTGGTTGTCACCCTTGTTAGGAAACTTGCATAAAAGGCCAGTGTGCCTATTAAAATTCTGTTCCTGCTTACCCTCAACATAGACTCTCATCTCGTGTGGGGGAAACGGCTGTATCTATCCTGGGGATTGCTTTATCACTAGGAATTATAATCACTAGCTCTTATAAGAGCTGTTCCTGCTACGCTCTCTGGGAGTAGGAGAGGTCTGCCTATTGGAAGCTGGATCCTGGTCTTGGGTCCAGGGTGGGTGAAGGACAGCGAGACCCCGGCGCAGCTGCATCACTGGAAGTGGGGTCTCCAGTGCTTATGGTTCCTGGTGGAGTGCTGGAATGCCTCGGTGAGCAGTAGGAGTATCGAGGCACTCGGTCAGTGTGTCACACACTGTCTATATAAACTGAGTAATGGATCAAAAAAAAAAAAAAAAATTGGATAGGTTAATAGCCACATATTTCAGACTAGTGCAGGCCTGTCCAACCTGCGGCCCCCCAGATGTTGCTGAACAACAACTCCCATGATTCTTTCAATGAAAAAGATAGACAGGGAATCATGGGAGTTGTAGTTCAGCAACATCTGGAGGGCCGCAGGTTGGACAGCCCTGGACTAGTGGCTTCAGAAAACCCCTCCAGTTTCCTTCGATTATAGAATTGTTGAAAGTGTGAATTGGTCATGTTTTCAAATGGAAGTCTTTAAACAAATAAATAGTGGGGATGCAGACAGAATGCGTTCTGAGGTGGGGTTTGGATAGTTGGATTTTTAGTCACAAACAATGACAATCTACTGTACAGTTTTTTACATCAATGCTAATATAGTCCAAATTAATTAGGTGTAATTACTGCATATTGTAAGAGCGCACTTGCCAACACTAGGATGAATTTTAGTCTTGTAGTCATAGAAGAATACCTGAGCCACGGCTGGGTCCAAATTATTCATGATCATATGCATAACGGCAGCGGCCTGTGTGGTATGGCAGGGATATTCTGTGATGGGGTATGCTCTAGGAAGACATTAAATGGCAACAGGGTTGTTACCAAACAGTGTAACCAAAAATGTTTTATATGGCATACTTATGATGACACTATACCTTGATTAGCAAGTAGGCACACGTGAGAAGTTACAAACAGTACTGTGTATCTAAGCAGTTACTGAAGGACTAGAGAGACTACCACAACTTTATTAGAGTATCTGTACACCTTTAATCTGCTATAAGCAAAATTCTATAAACGTTTTGTTTTTTCTTAGCTTCTATTTAGGGTTAAATAATGTTTTAAGCAATTTAAAGTATACTGTCTCTTTCCTGATAATTACACCAATAGAAAAAAAAAAAAAATAATAATTGATAATCTTTTTCTATGATATGCTCCATTTTAATTTTTACATTTATAAATAAAGATCATGTTATATCACAGTGCAGTCGAGGTACACATGGGACCAATATCACAAATGAAAAGTAAATCAAACTAGTGAAGTATATATTTGCATATTTAAAAGACCACACCGTGAAGCATAACGTCACTGCATCGAAATTATGTGTGAGGAGACGCTGGGCTCACCTGAAGGAAACCAATTGCTCTGCCCCTGTACTTCCACTCAATTTCTGAGGTTTCACTCAGGAAGCTTTGAACGGAGTGCTGCTGACACTCTCAGCCCCTGAGTAACTGTCCATTGGGAAAAGTGTGAAGAAATTGCTTATCTGTTTTAATCTCTCCTCAATGGAGAGCTACTGGCTTATCAATGGCACCCAGTCTGAGGCTTCATGATTGAAACCTCAAACACGGAGTTAGAGTAGAGAGGCAGAGCAATTGGGAGCATGGGAACTACTCGCACCAAAACAATATTATTGAGGTGAAGTTAATGAAGTTCTTCTAGTGTCAGATGGCCCTTTTAAAATGTGGATGACACTTATTTCTAGTTTTCTGCAAATTCTTGGTACAATTTACTAAATCCTTTGGATTTCTGATGCTTCTTTGGCTCGGTCATGTTGGATTTTATATTCTATGCCACTTTTGCTCTGTGTGTAGGATTCTCTTTTACTTCTCTATATTTCTGCCATGCTACGTTTGACAGTCTTCAAAAACTTTAATTTCTGCATAAACTGGTGGGATTTACTATAAAAGAAAAATGTCACTTTTAGAACACTTTATTAAGTACGAACAATATTGCAACAGAATTTGACTGTTACTTTTCAGAGCACATTGGGATATCTCCTATTCTATTTCTCCTCTATGCTGACTGCAAGGTGCAAAGGACAGAGATTATCTCAATGATTGACAGTGAGCTAAGATGGAGGTTCCCAGCAGGGCCGCCATCAGAAATTGTGGGGCCCCTAACATAGCTCAAGGTCTGGACCCCCGGGTGCCCGCCTCCAAGCCCTGTCTCCAAATCCCGCCCACAGGAATACACACACACGGGAAGATACACACATACATACTCACATACTGACATACATGCATACTGATAGATAGAGATATATATATATATATATATATATATATATATACACACACACACACACACACACAGACACATACACACTTCATTTATCAGCCACCCTCCTCTTACCTTTAAGTTGCAGGAGGGTGGCTGGAGATGATGGGAGTGGATGCCTCTGGTGTCCTCTGCTCTCCCTCTTCTCCGCTCTCTGCCACTCCGTCACTTCCTCTCAGCAGCACTTGCGGTGTAGCCGCAATTTATTTATTTATTTATTTTTTTAAAAGGGGCCCGGTCGCGCTATTACCCAGCCGCAGCGCTGACCGGGCCCCTGAAGATATAGGGCCCATCGGGTGGCCCTAAATGCTCGGGCCACCTGATGGGCCCCGGTGCAGATGCACCTGCGGCAGTTTCCCCACTCCATGTGGGGCCCGGACGGCCGGGCCCGTGACAACCATCATGGTTGGTTGTCACCCCCTGATGGCGGCCCTGGTTCACGGATGCAGGATAAAGAGGTGTGGATTTCTACATTTAAATTAATATTAAACCTGGGAAGTTACTTTTCCCTTTAAGATGGTGTAAATAAAATATTTTAAGTGGACAACTTACTTCATCTCTATCTCAGGGTGGAATCTGTACATGTAGATGTGACCATAGCATCTCAGCTCTTCAGCAAATTCAGTCACCAGGGTTTCATGCAGCTCAGGAGGGAAGTAGCGCAAGGCATTTTCTAGAGCAAGCTAAAGATGAAGGCACAGTCAGTCTTTCTAAACATTACAAATGTAATTTCTCCTTACAGGACAATAAATAGGCATGAGCTGGTACACTGTGTGATCTAAAAGCCTAGAGACGATTAATACAGAATCATTCTACTTTTTGCATTATCAAGATTATTCTGGTAGAGAAAGACCATCACTGTATATAGATTAAAAAGGGTAAAGGATCTACACCATAACTACTATAGGTTATTAAAGCTGTTATGGTGCTCTAAATCGTTGGATGCTGCCACCCATCTTTGAAATGAGTAATGTGGAAGATTAATTGACATTACATGTCCAAAGTCTCGCAAACTTTGAGAGCAATTATAGGCATCAAGCACTGTGAGTGGGATATGATCCCTTAAAATTTGCCATACAGACTCACTGTGCGTTACCCAAGGAAGGATACTGTCTAAATGTAAATAAACACTCCACACATGTATCAAGATATTCTCATTTTAAATTAGTACCAAGTTCTATTTGTAATCAGCACTCATAATTAACTCCAGAAACACCTCTACTGGTGTCAGACAACCAGGGAGGTTATCATACGGATTCCGATGACTTCACAGAGCCAACATTAAGTGGCAGGCACAGTCTGCTAAAGCACCATCCTACACATTTATAGATGGAGTGATGGATTGTTTTGGATCATACAATTTTTTTGGTGGTGATCCCACAGTGGCAGTCACTATGGAGACACTTTGACATATTCTATTATAAAGTAAATATTTGGAAGGATTTCATGGTTTATTTACCAAGGCTTCCATGATGTGGAGGAAGTCTAGTCCCCTAACCTGAAGATCAGCCCAGTATGTCTGTCTCTATTAAAATAAATAGATACAACCTTGTACAAACAGCAACCTGTGTGATTTGTTAATCTTTTAAGATTCCACACATGCCAAAAGGTCACAGGCTCTCACAGTCAGGGGCAAGTTACCGTATCTAAACCCAGGTTTGTACTAAACGCTACCTGTTGCCCAGTGGCGTACACATGACCCATGGGGCCCCGGTGCGAAAATTGATCCGTGGACCCCCCCCCCGCGCGCGGGCCGGGCCGCAACACATGGCGGTGGGCACCTGGTCGCAGGGGTTACAGGGCTGCGACCCCTGTATGTACGCCAGTGCATGCAGATGCACACACACTTAAAGGACCACTCTAGGCACCCAGACCACTTCAGCTTAATGGTGCCAGGTCGAGCTAGGGTTAACACATTTTTTCATAAACATAGCAGTTTCAGAGAAACTGCTGTGTTTATGAATGGGTTAAGCCTTCCCCTATTTCCTCTAGTGGCTGTCCAATTGACAGCCGCTAGAGGCGCTTGCGTGCTTCTCACTGTGATTTTCACAGTGAGAGCACGCCAGCGTCCATAGGAAAGCATTATGAATGCTTTCCTATGTGACCGGCTGAATGCGTGCACAGCTCTTGCCGCGCGTGCGCATACAGCCGACGGGAGGAGAAGAGGAGGATCGGAGGAGGAGAGCTCTCCGCCCAGCGGTGGAAAAAGGTAAGTTTTACCCCTTTCCAGAGCCGGGCGGGAGGGGGTCCCTGAGGGTGGGGGCACCCTCAGGGCACTATAGTGCCAGGAAAACGAGTATGTTTTCCTGGCACTATAGTGGTCCTTTAAAGGACCACTACAGACACCCAGATCACATCAGCTCAATGAAGTTGTCTGGGTGTCAGGTCCCTCTAGTTTTAACCCTGCAGCTGAAAACATAGCAGTTTCAGAGAAACTGCTATGTTTCACTGAGGGTTAATCCAGCCTCTAGTGGCTGTCTCACGGACAGCCGCTAGAGGAGCACACTGAACGCCCATAGGAAAGCATTGAGTAATGCTTTCCTATGGGCGGTTTGAATGGGTGCGCGGTCGCATTCGGAGCTGAGAGGCTGAGGGATCCTCAGCACCAAGGGAGTCCGGCGCTGGAGAAAGGTAAGTGCTGAAGACACACACACTCTCACTTACAGAGGCATACACACTAGCTAACAGACACACACATTTACTGACAGAGATACAGTCAGTGACAGACATACATACACACTCACTTACAAAACATACACTCTCATTGACAAACACACACTCACTAACAGACATCAAACAGACTCACTAACACACACACTCAGTAAGACACACACAGTAACACACTCACACTCACTAGCAGACACACACACTAACACACTCACACTCACTAGCAGACACACACACTAACACACTCACACTCACTAGCAGACACACACACTAACACACTAACACTCACTAGCAGACACACACTAACACTCACTCTAACACTCACTCACACTAACACTCACACACACTAACACTCACACTAACACTCACACACACTAACACACACACTAACACTCACACTCACTCTAACACTCACACACACTAACACTCACTCTAACACTCACTCTAACACTCACACACACTAACACTCACACACACTAACACTCACTCTAACACTCACTCTAACACTCACACTAACACACACACATGATTTTTTTTTTTTTTATATATAATCCCCCCAGCCTCCTTACCTTTTGGAGTGCTGGGGGGGATTATTCCCTGGGGTCCAGTGGGGCTCCTGGGCGGGTGGCTGGTCGGGCAGGCAGGCGGGCGCGCGAGGGAGCACTCAGTGCTTCCTCTTCAGCTCCCTCTCCTCTTCAGCTCCCTCGCGCGCCGCGTAGGGATGCCGGCGCCGGAAGATGACGTCATCTTCCGGCTCCGGTATCATTGCGGTGCGCGAGGGAGCTGAAGAGGAAGTACTGAGTGCTCCCTCGCGCGCCCGCCTGCCTGCCCGACCGGCCACCCGGGGTCAGCAGGGCCAGCCTCAGGGGGGCCCTGGGGTGGTCGGCTCCTGGGCCCCCCAGGGGAAGAGGCTGGCCCTGGGCGTACATACCGGGTCGCAGGGGCGGCCGGGCCCCCTGGTGGGCCGGGCTCGGTCGCAGTCGCGACCCCTGCGACCCTGGTATGTACGCCAGTGCTGTTGCCTCTGTGGTCCTGTTTGTGATTAGGTATTGCAAAAATACCATCAATGCAAATGTTGGGAGGGGTTTCTGATTGCTTGTGATGTAAACCCACCCATGGGTGGACTGGGTGGCATTGTGCCAACAGCACTCCAGGACTGCAAGAAATGAAGCCATTCTAAAATATATGAAGTAGGCTGGCAGGGGCACCAGAGTGCCATATGTGTAACATTTTACTGGCTCTTTCGATATGATGCAACAGATATGCTCACTCATCTGTGGTCGAGGAGAGATGCAGGGCAGGTGTGCTGGCAAGAGGTTCTGCTCCATGGCGAACAGCTATTAATGGCAAATTACATCACCTACTGCCAATGAACGGTGACTGGATTGGGTTCCAGCTCCTGCAGGAACCAGAAGCCTATCAACCAGCAGAGGAGCTTCAGAGCCTGGCAAGACCCAGGCAAGAGGGCAAATCATTAACAGACAGTTTGCCCCGTTACCGGGGAACCAGGCCAGGTACTTAGACATCTTAGCCACTATAGTAGGCTGTGGTCGTTATGAATATTGGAGTAACCCTTTAGTTCATTGATTTTATTTTGGCAACACTCTTCATGCCATGTGGGTGTATATGTAGTCTTCTGTACAAATAATGTAGGCAACAGAATGCCCAGTGATTGCACAATGACTAGGAATGATTAACCTGCAGATTGGATTACCTTCTAACAGGTTTGAATTTCCCACAAGATTGATGTTGTGTTCCCTGGGTTAGCAAAGTTTCAGCAATCAAGCATGTTTACTGATTTTTACAGCTGAACAAAAACAGTGATTGCACAATCCCTCTACAAACAGAACATGCAAGTTTCTCAAATCACTAGTAATATTTTAGGCTCAGGTAATAAATACAGCCATTAAAAGAGAATATGACCCAGGAATTCCAGAGGGGTCAATCTGTAGGTTTACAGCTTTGAACAAGCTTGCTAGAGCCACTGGAGGGGGATTTAAAAATAAAATGCTGAATATGTTTTCACAATTATGTCAGTTTGGTGCAAATACTATATCAATTTATACACTTTTTTTTGTACCTCCACTCTCACAGTGTAATAAATAAAATTCATAGATGAAGCTCAGCCTTGCACATGGAAAAAAGTGTGCATGTTGATGTGCACAAATGATGAAGATATATTTATTTATATAGACAGGTAAAAAAAAAAAAAAAACCCTCATCTTCACCAGCTGCACATTCATTGTTTGTTCCTGAATGTATACATCACTTTGGCATCAAGTTGGGAGCTGCATGTAAAGTGCTGCCCACCTGATTTTCTTTATGCAAGGGGAACTCAGTCATGATTATTTACAAAAAGTGGAATGGTCACAAACTGAAACATAGGTTACTCTGAAAATTATCACAGTTCAGTTATTTTAGTAACTGATGTCCGGCAGTCTGTGAAGTCTCCATGCTGAAGGCAGTACTTTTCCTATTACATTAAACAAGACACAGACCAGGAAAACATGGTGAATCTGGCAACTCTGTCCGTAGCAATGCTCAGTTTTTTTTATACAGAACAAAAAATATATATATATATATATATATTGTCTTAAAGGAATACTACAAGTATGTGTGCAACATTTACCTAAATCTAGACCATTCAAAATGATTTCAGCCACTTTACCTTTTCTTCCTCTGTGGAAAGATGAGGAGTCCTTTTTGGTGCATGGGGCCCACCTTTAGCTCTCCCTTTCTTTGGGGGTAATGGACTTAATGGAAGCCCAGCACACAGCGCCTGAAGGTTGCTCATTGTTAGGCCTTATCCCAGACAGGTCAGAAGAACTCACAGGTTACAACTTCAACAAAAACTAAAAGCGACTGAGACACACCTACTCCTAGCCTGAAACCCTATTGGTCTACAAGATTCCCTAAAATTAATATATTACCTGGCCTTATCACAACCCTGGACAGAGTGGGAGAGAAGGGCCTCCTGCTGTGTGTTACTGAATTTCACTGGGATTTACCTATTAAACTGGACATTTTAAGGCATTGACAATGCAATTGAAAATTTTAGCCTAAAACTGGAAAACAGCTAGAATTCAGATATTTTTTTGTTTGGTTTATCAGTTGTGCATTGTCATTTCTTCACAATTCCTAGTTTGTTAAATAAAACACATTCTGCCCATTGAAGTGGTCTGGGTGCCAACTCCCACCACCCTTAACCCTGCAAGTGTAATCACTTTTTTTTATAAACTGTTTTTATAAACTGCAATAATTACCTTGCAGGGTTAACTCCTTCTCTAGTGGCTGTCTACTAGACAGCCACTAGAGGGCACTTCCTGGATTATAGCACACAAATCCTGTGCTAGAGCATCGCTGGACGTCCTCACGCTTCGCTCATTTCCCCATAGGAAAGAATTGAAAAGCGCATTAGGTCTCCCCGGCCAGTTGGCAGGATCAGTCCCGCCCACCGGCCGACGCAATCACTGAGAGGAGTGGCGGCGGAGGAAGAAGCAGCTACGTGGGACATCGTCGCTACCTATGGTAAGTTACTGAAGGGGTTTTCACCCCTTCAGCAACCGGGGATTGGGAGGTGGGACCTTCATTGGAATTAAGTTGTTATGGTGTTAGCAGGTCCCAGGCACCAGCTTACCTTCGGGGGTTAAACCAGTCAGTGTCCGTCAGATTTGCCCCTTTACTTCATTTCCAATCAGAGCCTTTAATCAGGAACCCTCGGACAAAGTGCCACTGATGCCACTGTTGCCATGCTCTAGACTTAATAGTAGCTCTCCAATTACAAAACAATGTGAGGAAGGTATGTTTCTTTCTCACTAAATGGTGAGCCAGCAGCAGCTCAACCTTTAATATCTCATTCCCTGGGTAGTGGCTAGTATAAACAACGTTGGAATAAGGAGGAACTGTCTCTAGTGCCTCCTTATTCCCCCTGCTTAGCATTTGAGGGCTTAAAAAAACTGGTGACACCTCCAATACATTAATGGAATATTGCCAATGTTACTAGGGATGTACATGGGCATAAAATTGGTTCGGTTCGAAACTTCTGAAATTCTAAAATTCTGCAATTCGGGACTTCGGCAATTCGGTTCGGTTTGGCACTTCCAAAATTAGGGGTAGGGTTAGATCCCTGTCATTATTCCAGTAATTTTCCCTCCCTCTCTTGTTTGCCACTTTTCAGAAATCCGCAGCACTTTGGCACGTCGGTTCGTCACTTCCGAAATTCAGGCAATTCGGTTCGGCACTTCAGAAATTCGGCACTTTGGAAATTTACATTCGGAACGAAACAAATTGCACATGTCTAAATGTTACTACATTAGTTGCTACTGGAGAACCTTCTTAGCCAGTTCTGTCCTGTATGACCAAGGCAGTGAAATTAATCTTCTGTTGTTTTTCTTTTATTGTGTGGTTATTACATCTACATTTTAGTTTCTATCACTATGTCACAGGTATTTCACAGGAATTTACATTATGTCCTTCTGGTGACCTGCAACAGAGTTTACACAATTTTTATTATCTTCCCCTGTTTTTCCCCATTTTTCTCAACTATACATTCTAACATGGCGCCTAGGCATTATAGCTTTTTATTCTTGGATATCGTGAGCATGGTGTATTGGCAGTTGTGAACATAATTTACCCTTTTATCCTCTTTATATCTGATAGTAATGTGCTGCATTGTTATGTATCTGTTACAAGCCTCCCAGCATTCCCAATTTGGAGGTACAGTCCTGATTGTCCTGACTTTATCTCCCAAAAATGGGACACTTAGGAAATTGTCCATAATGTGAGTGCATCATCAGACATGCACTATGATTAAGGTACTAATACCCTGCAGAGAGTACAGAAATAATGCCCCCTGCATTGTCTGCCCACAGTGGACCGGTCTACTTGATTTGCAGGCAGCCTTGCGTGCACTCGCCTCAGACTGACCTGTCAATTCTTGGAGTGGCCCTTCCTCCTTTCTTGGAGGGTTCATCTCCCCATTGGCCAGTGACATGATTAATGTTACTGGCATGCCACAGGCGTCCCACTTCAAGATATGGTCTTTGATATCTTCAAATGTGCTATTTACTGCTTAAAGGGTCAGAGCAGGGCAGGTGCTTGGATTTTTAGGTACATAGGCGAAGATGCATTTTTCCGCCCCCCCCCCAAAAAAAATCTTCACCTATGTGCCTCTTAACCAGCCCCTCTCCCCTCCCCGACCATTAGTGGTCCCTTCCGTTCCCTGTCCCTTAGTGTTCTTCTCCCCTCCCCCCTTTCCCCCTCCCCCCTTTTTTCCCTGTCTCTTGGTGTTTCTCTCCCATTCCCTCCCTGTCCCTTGGTGCACCCCCCACCCCTTTAGTGGTCACACTTCCTGGTGTGTGCCTCCTACCTCTATTGTTGCATTGCCGAGCGGAGCAGATCCCCTAAAGGAGCTTCAGTTTTCTGTACCCGGACGGACTGACAGGGAGTGCTCTCTCTGTGAGCACCTCCTGTCAGTCTGGCCAGGTACAGGAAACAGAAGCTCCTGTACCGCGCTCTGCTCCACTACACTCTGTACACACTGACAGTCACACACTCAATGACAAACACACAGACTCATTGATCTGACACACACACACACTGTCACTCACAGACACACACACACAGACACACACACACACTGTCACTCACAGACACACACACACACTGTCACTCACAGACACACACACACACTGTCACTCACAGACACACACACACAGACACACACACACACTGTCACTCACAGACACACACACTGTCACTCAGACACACACAGACACACATCACATACATTCACTAATAATTTTATAAATAAACATTTTCCACCCAGCCTCCCTACCTGGAGAGCTGGTGTGGATGCTGGATCGGTCCCTGAGGGCTGGGGCTGCTGAGAGGCGCGCGGCAGTGCTGTGATCAGGCGCGCGAGGGAGCTCTAATCTCCATCCTCTGCTCCCTCGCGGGCTGCCTACTGATGACGTCATATTCCGGCTCCCGCGGCATCAGTAGGCAGCGCGCGAGGGAGCAGAGGGTGGAGATTAGAGCTCCCTCGCGCGCCTGATCACAGCACTGCCGCGCGCTGCGCCGGGGGTCGAGATGGTGGCCTGGCAGGAGGGAGAGCTTCCCTCCTGCCGGTCACTGAAATATTGCACCCCCCAGAGCCCGTGCGCCCTAAGGCGGCCGCCTGTGCCGCCTTATGGACGCGCCGGCCCTGGGTCAGAGACACAAACTATACACACACTACAGGGTCAGGAACACAAACATGTATTCCTGACCTTATAGTGTTAAAACCACCATCTATCACCCCTGGTCTCTCCTTGCCTGCCTAAATATAGTAAAATTTTACTTGTATCTGCCTGCTTGGCTCGCATCATCAGAAGTGGTGGTCTGGGCCAATCACAATGTTTCCCATAGGACTGGCTCAGCTTGTCAAGGAGACAGATCAGGGGCAGAGCCAGCACAAGTCAAACACAGCGCTGGCCAATCAGCATCTCCTCGTAGAGATGCATTGAATCAATGCATCTCTATAGTTAAAGTTCAGTGTCTACATGCAGAGGGAGGAGACACTGAATGGCAGTAATGCACAGTGCGCAGCACTGCCCCAGGAAGCACCTCTAGCAGCTGTCTTCTCTGAAAAGACAGTGTTTACTGCAAAAAGTTTAAAGGGAATGATTCTACTCAACAGAACAAATATAATTAGCTGTAGATGTTCTGGTGACTATAGTGTTCCTTTAAAGTTCCTAAAGGAGGACCTGTACTCAGTGGTGTACCTACCACGGTCGCAGGGGTCACAGCTGCGACCGGGCCCGTCACTCCAGGGCCAGTCGGAGGGGTACAAACCTTTCACTTGTAAGGACCCCAGGCCACCCGAGGGGCCCTTACATGCACACAGACCTGGTCAGGGGGATATATTCAAAGGCAACGCTCGATTACAAGTGGTGCCGGCACTTGCGGGAAAAGCTGGCCGAGGTTAAGGCAGAGAGCATCTAAAGCATCACCATATCACCAGGGATTCTGGTAGGAAACAGGGATGGGGGGTATTCTTCTCAGCCCCTATCCTACCCAGCAAACACGCTCTCACACACACAACTATTATTATTTTATTATTTATAAAGTGCCACAAAATTCCGTAGCGCTGTACAATGTATCCCTACACACACACACACTGCCTCCCTTTACACACACACACTGCATTCCTACACATACACTGCATCCCTACATCACACACACACAATGCATCGCTACACACACACTGCATCCATACACACACACAATGCATCGCTACACACACTACATCCCTACACACACACACACACACTGCATCCCCTACACAAACTGCATCCCTACACACACACAATGCATCGCTACACACACTCTGCATCCCTACACACACTGCATCCTTACATACACACACACAATGCATCCAAACACACACAATGCATCCAAACATACACACACAGCATCCCTACACACACAATGCAAAATAGCCAAACTGAATATAGAATTGACATGAAGAATTTTTGTAATTTGGATTTTGAAATTTGCTTTGAATTCTCTTTGAAGTCCCAGTAATTCTCACTTTAGTGAATAATCGTGTTAAGGTATTTCTCTAATACTTGACTTAGAGAATGTTTCCAGTTTGCCTATTTTGGCCTTAAATTTGAAAGTCACTTAGAAGTCTCTGTTTTAGTGAATGACCCTGTGTGTGAAGACCTTGTATTTACGCACACAAATAACAGGTGCCTGCTGTAATCAATCTGACCAGCAGGTAGCACTGCTCAGTCACATGTCACATTAAATAGAGTGGGTGGAGCATAACCCACTTGTCGGGCATTTAAATTAAAGAGACAGGTGCAGCA